TGACTTAATTTTAGCACACAGCAATTCTTCCCAAATGTTTATTGTTATTTTACATTTATTATATTATGGTCTCAAGAGCTGCATAATAAAAAAACATAACAATTCAGTATTTTCTAACAATATTACATCTATTACTATAACTGACCAAATATTTGAGTGCTGTCAGCCGTCTCTTAACGAAATAACACTAGCATGAGGTTTATAACTTTTGTTTCATATTTTTTTGCTATAAATAGGTGGTAAAGCAGAATGTGACAGGCCTGCAGTGGATGGCCAGTGAAGCCTGGACAGCCGCTGTTGTTCTCCAGACACCTCACCTTATGCCATATCTGGGTGGCACACTGGGCGTCGCCATCCGTCGAGGAGAAATACCAGGGCTTAGGGATTTCCTGTTGAGAATACGTCCTGACCTACATGACGATAATGATGGAAATAGCATGGTGAGACTGTAAACTCACAATAAGATATGACATTACAAAAATATAATATTGATATTTTTGTTTATACTTTGTTTTGAATACATTTCAGGTGAGGCAGTTTTGGGAATACACATTTCAGTGTAGATTTGCTCCACCTCCATCAGGTTCAGTGGAAGCTGCGGGAGCACTGTGCACTGGAGATGAAGACTTAGAGAACGTCGAGACTGAGTTTTTGGATGTCTCAAACCTCAGGCCTGAGTACAATATTTACAAGGCTGTGTATGCTCTGGCGTACGCCCTTGATGATATGCTGCAGTGTGAGCCAGGGAGAGGGCCTTTCAGCGGGCACAGCTGTGGAAATTTGCACAGAATGGAGCCATGGCAGGTGTGATATCAATTTACACTGCACCTGTTTATATTTTTTAAAAAGAGCTGCTACATCTATAGGTGTTTACTGAAATAGATTATGGGAAAAGGAAACATTATTATCAAAGTGCCTATGGCATTAGTAGCCACTTTGTATCCCCTGATTGTCTTCATAAAACAAAAAAAAACTGTATTTGATTGATTAAATCCAAGTAATTTTTTCCTCAGAACATCTAAAAGCATATACCCAATCAAGAAAAGTCCATTTTTGTGAGTCCCTCTGTCACAATATCTTACAATATATATGCATTATACCCCTTTGTAGCTTATGCATTACTTGGAAAAGGTCAACTTCACGACACCATTTGGTGATGAAGTGTCATTTGATGAAAATGGTGATGCCTTACCAATATATGATATCATGAACTGGCTGTGGCTCCCTGATGGAAGAACTAAAGTTCAGAATGTGGGTGAGGTGAAGAGATCGGCCTTCAAAGGTGAAGAACTCACACTTAAGGAGGACAAAATCTTCTGGAACTTTGACTCCAAACAGGTTATTACTTATTTTTTATTGTTGTTTTGGCCTCAGTATTGTATGTCACACAATAGACATTTTCACAGCAGCCACTTTTAAATGAAAACAATAGCAGCACCCTGACTCTGTTTGACCTGAATGGAACAAAACCTTAACTAGTATTATTAGTAACACCTGTGTTTACCCTACTATTGTCAAAATGGCAGCTGTGAAAAATATCAAATGGTGCAGAGTAACCATGATATAACTTTTACAATCCCTATAGCCACCCCGGTCAGTGTGCAGTGAGAGCTGTCTTCCAGGTACCCGCATGGCCAGAAAAAAGGGACAGCCTGTGTGCTGTTTCGACTGTGTCCCTTGTTCTGAGGGAAAGTTCAGCAATAAAACAGGTTGGTATTATTATGATATCAACTATATGTTATAATGAAAAATTAACTTGTATTTAGCAGTCATCCTGATGCCCAGGTAATGAAGACAAGTACAATTCCTGACATGGCTCATGCAACAATACTGTCAGTGTTTACAGGTGGAAGGGACAATGTCTTTGTATTGAGCAAGCAAATAATATGGTTGGTTAGGGTGGCTGTCTAGAGGGGATATGCAACAATGGTATGTACCTCTCTGTGTGTTATGCCTGTCTACACTCTCCCCTGGCCAACTGAAGAAAGTTAGTAGTGACAAGAGCTACACAAAATGGAAAACTGGCCATGCCAGTTAAACAGAAGGTAACAATGGTTTAAAAAGTGAAATATCATAAATTGCAGGAATTAAGAGAATCTTTCCTATTTTTTAGACTCAATGGAGTGCACCAGTTGTCCAGAGGACTTCTGGTCCAATGAACAGCGTGACAACTGTGTTCCTAAGACAACAGAGTTCCTCTCCTACCATGAGCCTCTGGGCATCTGCTTGACAGCTGCCTCATTACTGGGCACATGTATCTGTGCTGTAGTCCTGGGCATCTTTATCCATCATCGCAGTACACCCATGGTACGGGCCAACAACTCAGAACTAAGTTTTCTGCTCTTGGTGTCACTCAAACTGTGCTTCCTGTGTTCACTGCTGTTTATCGGCCGTCCCAGGCTATGGGCATGCCAGCTGAGACATGCAGCATTCGGGATCAGCTTTGTGCTTTGTGTCTCATGTATTCTTGTGAAAACCATGGTGGTTCTGGCTGTCTTCAAGGCCTCCAAGCCAGGAGGTGGAGCCAATCTGAAGTGGTTTGGTGCTATGCAGCAGAGAGGGACAGTTCTGGCTCTTACATCGATCCAAGCAGCAATTTGCACGGCTTGGCTCGTCTCTTCCTCACCAGCTCCGTATAAAAACACTCAATATTACAATGACAAGATAGTTTATGAGTGTGTAGTTGGGTCCACAATTGGTTTTGCAGTTTTACTGAGTTACATTGGCTTACTAGCTGTCCTTAGCTTCCTGTTAGCATTCCTGGCTAGGAATCTTCCAGACAACTTCAATGAGGCCAAATACATCACTTTCAGTATGCTCATCTTTTGTGCTGTGTGGGTGGCCTTTGTCCCTGCTTACGTCAACTCCCCAGGAAAATATGCAGATGCAGTGGAGGTATTTGCCATCCTGGCCTCCAGTTTTGGCCTCTTGGTGGCACTGTTTGGACCCAAATGTTACATAATCCTGCTGAGACCAGAGAGGAACACAAAGAAAGCAATAATGGGTCGAGGCAACCCCAAGTCATAAAAAGTAACTCTAAATAAATATGAATCATTTTCAATCAGCCTGTATTTGAAATGTATTCAACAGTCATCTGCTCGTGATATGGCACACAATAAGTAACCTTTGTAAATTTGAAAATTAAACTATAAGATATGAATAAATGTTATTGTATTCTATTTTTACTGTTGAAGTGACTGAATTATTTCAAAGAGTCAATGATACAATACATTCACTTGATTATTAAAGCTGATTTAATTGATTTGTATGGCCACTTGGAAATAGCAGAAAAATCACACAACCAACATATTGTCAACTTATAAAGTGAGATTGTCCTCCCAGGAAGAATGACTGAAGTTATTTGGGCAAGAGCCCCCAAACAACATATGTTTACACAAATCAGCCATCACTTCATGGTATGCAGCCCCATACACAACAAATTGTGATGCACTGTGTGTTCTGACACCTTTTTATCAGAACTAGCGTGAACTTTTTCAGCAATTTGAGCTACAGTACCTCATCTGTTCGATCGGACCACGCGGGCCAGCCTTCCCTCCCCATGTTCAACAATGAGCCTTGGCCTGTCACCGGTTCACAGGCTTCCTTGGACCACTTTTGATAGGGCCTGACCACTGCAGACCGGGAACACCCCACAAGAGCTGCAGTTTTGGAGATGCTCTGACCCAGTCAGCCATCACAATTTGGCCCTTGTCAAAGTCACTCACTTTCCTGCTTCGAACACATCAAGTTAAGGACTAAATGATCACTTGCTGTCTAATATATCCCACCCACTGACACGTGCCACGATAACAAGATAATCAGTGTTATTCACTTCACCAGTCAGTGGTGATGATGTTATGGCTGATCGGTGTACATTTCACTTTGTCCAGGAGCTGGATTTGGTTCTGCTGTCTACTGTTTGACTAAAGAGACTGTCTTACTGTTGCTTGTAATTGCATCTCAAATAAATTTGTAATGTTTTTTGTTTGGTATTTATTTATTTATTGAGTATTTTACATTTGTAGAGAATGAGTTTCATTAGTCACAGAAAAAGAAAAACTGACACCAAACAGAAAACTGTTAGCCAGTTAGAAATTTGTCTATTATTTATTTTCTAATTTACTTTTTATTTGTTCATAAAAATTTAGATTTGAGGAAAATTGGCAAAAAATGTAGAAATTAGACTTGTATGTTCATTATCAGCACTTCTAAATTTACGTGTATAATTAGTTCCATGTGTCTTTATTCAACATTTAAAACATGTTACAGCTAACAATGTACTCGGCACATTATGTTTTTCTGTGGACCATTTCCCCTAATATAACTGCAAACTGTCTGATTTTAATTTTCAACATACATTTTTATACCTACCAAATTCATTACAAATGTAGGCCTCCAGCTTTCACTAAATATACATATAATTTATTGTAAAATAAATATAGATTTGTACAAAAGAGTTGTTGTTGTTATTGCTTTGCAATTCTTAAAATATCAGTTACACTGTGATTAAAGTATTGTATCCTCAGTTTGAGTATAAGGTATAAAGCACTTGTCATATTGAAATTTAATATCAACACACTATAGACAGGAATTCAAAATGGGCTATTGTCACCACCAAATTGCTGCACATCAGGCTGCAGACCTGTATTTGATAACTGTCTGTACTGTAGATTGGATTAATAATAAAGAGTGTGTAACCTATGAGAAGAACAGTTATTCTTGTAAATTCTCTCAATGGGCTAACTAGTTAATGAAATAATAGTAAAACACTTCCCATTTTTCTGGGGACCACCTGGCATGCCCTTAAGGATCCCTGGGGGTCTTTGGGCACCAGGCTGAGAACCGCTGGTTTAGGGCATGTATTGACCAAAACACCTGCTGATGTGGAATGTATATTATGCCCATCCCTCTCTGTCGGCCAAGCTCTGATTGGTGGTGTGAACAATTAAACATTGACGAAAGGGGATGACATAGCCCTGCATATAAAATTAAGTACCCATGCATGAAGATTATATACAGAGGTTAAGAGAGGAGGGCAGTTATGGGGCCAATAATTGTCAAATATTTGTTCTCATCTGTTTATCTGATTTTTAGTTCTTTCTCTATTTTATTTTCTGAGTCTTCCTATCTTCCCCCATCTTGTACATTACGGAGACAGTTTAATCTTAATGGGATGCACAAACCTGGTGATGTGATTGTGGGTGGGCTGTTTGAAGTCCACTACACCTCTGTCTTTCCTGAGCTGACGTTTACCTCAGAGCCAAATCAGCCCAGCTGCCAAGGGTAAGTCTTGTGTCAGATCTTGTACATGTATCAGACAACACACAATATTATGTTATTTTAAGCGATTAATGGAGATATGTTGTGTGTTAGCTTTGACCCTCCAGGATTCAGGCATGCCATGACTATGGCTTTTGCTATTGATGAGATCAACAAGAATTCCAATCTGCTACCTAATGTGACTCTGGGATACAGTCTTTATGATAACTGTGCTACACTTGGTATTGGGTTCAGTGCTGCATTATCACTGGCAAGTGGTCAAGAGGAGCAGTTTCTGCTTCAGGAGAACTGTTTAGGGACTCCTCCAGTTTTGGGTATTGTGGGTGATCCATTCTCAACCTTTTCCATTGCCGCCTCCAATGTGCTTGGTTTATTCAAACTGCCCATTGTAAGTTTACTGTCTTTGATTTCTTGTGTGCTTTTGACATGCTGTACTTAAACTGATTATAAATGATTAAAATAAGTAAAATATTTAGAATGTCTTTACTAACTCACACAAGATGCACATGTGTGCATTATGTGTTTCATTATAGGTGAGTTATTTTGCCACTTGTTCCTGCCTGAGTGATCGCAAACAGTTTCCATCCTTCTTCAGAACAATCCCAAGTGATGCTTTCCAGGTGAAACACTACTACCAAAATAATAACTGCATATATAAGTATAGAAAACTGGCAAGTATGTCTTGTCAATCAAAACATATTGTGTGCATAACATATATTGTCTCTGTGAATCATTTATGAGATTGTATGCAATTAGGTAAAAAAATTTAATACGATTAATTACGATTCTGTCATGAAACATGTATGTATAAATTTCCACTAGAAAATTATATTCCAGTCTGTGCACTTATCCCTCCACTGTGTATTCACTTAGGTGCGTGCTATGATTCAGATCCTCAAACACTTTGGCTGGACTTGGGCAGGTCTGCTGGTCAGTGATGATGACTATGGACTCCACGCTGCCCGATCCTTCCAATCTGACCTGGTTCAGTCTGGTGGAGGTTGTCTGGCCTATTCAGAGATTTTGCCTTGGGGCAACAATCCAAAAGAATATAAGAGGATTGTGAATCTGATGACAAAATCCACAGCTCGTGTGGTCATAGTGTTTGCACATCAGATGCACATGATTCAACTAATGGAAGAGGTTGGAGGATGAAAATACATTGATATTTATAATTTCATTGCATGGCTCCATAAAATAATTAATTAAATTCAAATGTTCACACCTCATTCTGTGAATTATCAGTTACTAATTTTTAATGTATCAAGTTGGCACTAAAAACAGAAAACAAAACTCTATATCATTCTCTAAAAACGTTTTTGCAAATATCTATGCTCATCTGTATACCTGTGTTGTCCATTTATTGATCCTATATACTATTCATAGTTATTTTTCTATAACTCAGTTGTTTTTGAAAAAAGATCAAATTAGGCAGACAGTGATTTACATAAATCACCTTGCTCTGAAAAATGTAATCGTATCTGTGCTTACGTCACTAAAAGAAACAGCTATATTGGAGAATTGTGTATGTTGTAAATGTCTGAAAAAGATTGGTTTAATGCCATGCACAGGTGGTTAAGCAGAATGTGACAGGCCTGCAGTGGATTGCCAGTGAAGCTTGGACGTTAGTTGACGGGCTTCATACCCCTGCCTTCATGCCGTACCTGGGTGGCACACTGGGCATCGCTATCCGTTGTGGAAAAATACCAGGACTCAGGGAATTCCTGTTAGGAATTAATCCTGATCAGCACCCCAACAATGGCTATGGAAATAGCATGGTAAAAGTTTAAGCTTACAATCTGGTGACACATTGCAATAACATATTGTTATTAATTTGGTTAACATTCTGTTTTTAATGCATTTCAGGTAAAGCAGTTTTGGGAATTCACATTTCAGTGTAAATTTGCACCACCTCCAGCCGGTTGGGTGGAAGCTGGGGGAGCAATATGCAGTGGTCAGGAAGAAATAGAAAATGTTGAGAGTGAGTTTTTGGATGTGTCAGAACTCAGGCCAGAGTACAATATTTACAAGGCTGTGTATGCTCTGGCGTATGCCCTCGATGACATGCTGCAGTGTGAGCCAGGGAGAGGGCCTTTCAGCGGGCACAGCTGTGCTACTTTGCAAAGACTGGAGCCATGGCAGGTGTGATATCAGTTAACACTACTGTTTATGTTTTGAAAACAACTGCTACACCTTGAGGTACTAACTGAATGCATTTTTGTGAGAGTAGAACATTACGGGAAAAGCCACTATGTAAAAATGTATAAGATTATGCTAGTAACTTCCTTTTATTTAAATGTAATTTTCCTTAATGAGGATGAAATAATATATTTCATCGACAGAAGTAGTAGGAAAAACATAAATGTTTTTGATTGTTGATTACTTTTCTTTTTTTTTTTACTTCTGGAAATATCTCAATCAAACAAACAAAACTTATATTTATAATGACTCATTATTGTAGAGAATTTTGAAACAGTTTTCTGTACACTTCATTTCAACACGATAATGACTAGACCCAGCAAGCCTTAAACACAGAACCTTAATCCAATCAACATGAAAAGCCTGTTGTCTCTCCCTTCTGTAGCTTATGTATTACTTGGAAAAGGTCAACTTCACCACTCCATTTGGTGATGAAGTGTCATTTGATGAGAATGGTGATGCCTTACCAATTTATGATATCATGAACTGGCTGCGGCTCCCTGATGGAAGAACTAAAGTTCAGAATGTGGGTGACGTTAAGAGGTCTGACTCCAAAGTTGAAGAACTCACAATTGATGAAGACAAAATCTTCTGGAACTTTGAATTGAAAGAGGTTACTTATATTTATTGTTGTGTTTGCTTTAGTATTACATGCAATAGCAGCACCACATGGTTTGGAATAACTGTGATTTCACTATTCTTTCCCTATAGCCACCCAGGTCAGTGTGCAGCGAGAGCTGCCCCCCAGGTACCCGCATGGCCAGGAAAAGGGGGCAGCCTGTGTGCTGTTTTGACTGCATCCCTTGTTCTGAGGGAAAGGTCAGCAATGAAACTGGTTGGTATCAATTAAAAAAGTTATTTTTCTCTTTGTGATGGACTAATTTGTATGCAGGAATGTATCACCATACAGGTGCTCAGTTGGTGTTGAGGGAAAGCACATGCCCACTAACAGCAGAAACTTGGGGTCCATCCCCCACAGTCATAAATGCCTGTATTCAAAAGTGGGAAGGATTATGGTATTTTTGTTGCAATAGCAGCAGCAGGGCAGGGGAAATAAAGGGAAAATTCTTTCAAAAAATTACAATCTTCCCCTTGTTTTTAGACTCCATGGAATGCACCAGTTGTCCAGAGGACTTCTGGTCCAGCCCGCAGCGCGACCGCTGTATTCCTAAGAAAACAGAGTTTCTCTCCTACAATGAGCCTCTGGGTATCTGTTTGACTACCGCCTCATTGCTGGGCACATGTATCTGTGCTGTTGTCCTTGGGATCTTTACCTATCATCGTAGTACTCCCATGGTACGTGCCAACAACTCAGAACTGAGTTTCCTGCTCTTGGTGTCACTTAAACTGTGTTTCCTGTGTTCACTGTTGTTTATCGGCCGTCCCAGGCTATGGACATGCCAGCTGAGACATGCAGCATTTGGGATCAGCTTTGTGCTTTCTGTCTCATGTATTCTGGTGAAAACCATGGTGGTTCTGGCTGTGTTCAAGGCCTCCAAGCCAGGAGGTGGAACCAGTCTGAAGTGGTTTGGTGCTATGCAGCAGAGAGGGACAGTTCTGGTTCTCACTTCTATTCAGGCAGCAATTTGCACTGCTTGGCTTGTTTCTTCCTCACCAGCTCCTCATAAAAACACTCAATACCACAATGACAAGATAGTTTATGAGTGTGTAGTTGGGTCCACAGTTGGTTTTGCAGTGTTACTGGGATACATTGGCTTACTGGCTATCCTTAGCTTCCTGTTAGCATTTCTAGCAAGGAATCTTCCAGACAACTTCAATGAGGCCAAACTCATCACTTTCAGTATGCTGATTTTCTGTGCTGTGTGGGTGGCTTTTGTCCCTGCTTACGTCAACTCACCAGGCAAATATGCAGATGCAGTGGAGGTATTTGCCATACTGGCCTCTAGTTTTGGTCTCCTGGTGGCGCTGTTTGGACCCAAATGTTACATAATCCTGCTTAGACCAGAGAGAAATACAAAGAAAGCAATCATGGGTAGAGGCAACCCCAAGTCATAAAAGTAGCATTAACTGTAAAATTAGCTAGTCTAAATCAGCGCTTATTTTGTGACAGATCTGCCATGTTCAACACAAGTAGCCACTCTTTAATCCAAATATAAATCTTTATAATTAATGAAAATGTGTTTACTGTAAATAATACAATTAGAAAAATGCTTTATTATTGCCGTTTTACTGGATCACAGTCCTTGTGAGACTTTGAAAGGCTTTGCTTCAATCTCAACCTGACAACCTAAAAGATTAAATTTAACCACATTCACTATCCACGCTACTATCCACAAAGTAAAATAAATAGCAGTGGGCAGCATCAGAATACGGGTTATGCTTCTATGAACATATTCATATTTATTTTAGACTGAGGGAATGTTTTTTATCCAAATAAGAAATATAATCAAAGAAAGCTTCGATTAAGATACAATAAGATAAGATAAGATAAGATGTACCTTTATTGATCTCCCATATGAGAAATTCAAGTCAGACACAGCAGCATAGGGGCATGTAGTACAAAGAGTACAGAGTGTACAAGTACAATAAGAATCACAATATAAAAATATTAACAAAATATAATAGAAGATATTAGACTATAAATGAAAACTATATACACTATATGCAATATGCAGTACAATTGAGATAGCACTGAAAAAAAAAAAGCAGGACGGGATCCAGGTTGATGTTACATTACCATTTCAATTTAAGATAACCCACAATCTTGTTGTAGTTGCAATATAAAAGTCCAAAGCACTCAATAAAATTTTCTGAAATCCACACATGGAATTTTGTAAGTATTTTATTTCAGTATTTTCAGCATTAAGAGAAATATGATTTTTTGTTTTGTTTTTTGGTTGGTGTTATCTTAAGGGTCTTCATTTGGTCTGACATAACACACTGAGAAACATGCATCCTCATTAGAGGATATCCTGTGAATACCAAATAAGCATCCCCTTTTATTTTTGAAGATGAGTAAACCACAATTTATTTAACATGTTCCGAATTATTTAAGTTATAATAAACAGTATGGCCTAACACAAACAAAAGAAGAAAAACATTAAAATGATTTACAAAATATATAATATGGTTTTTGGCCTCTATTTGCTGAAACACTTTTATGGCATTGCATTTGCATGTTTTTACATGTTAAATAATTTATTAAATCTATATTATGTCCCGCGTCCATAGCCTGTGATGGGTGGTGTTAATGAATTAACAAGGATGGAAAGCATGCAGTTGGGGATGACATATTCCTGCCTATAAAATAAAGCAACCTTGTATGAAGAACAGAAACGGTTGTGAAGGGAGGAGGGAAGCTATGGAAGCTTTTCTTGACACGTATATCCTCTTGTGTGTCTACCTTATCTCAGTATGTGTCTCTTTCTCGTCTTTATACTTTGCATCTTCCTCTTTTCCCTCATCTTGTAAGTTACGGAAAAAGTTTAATCTTAATGAAGTGCACAAGCCTGGCGATGTGGTTCTAGGTGGGTTGTTTGAGGTCCACTACAGCTCTGTCTTCCCAGAACGAACATTTACCTCAGAGCCACAACAGCCCATCTGCAAAGGGTAAGTTTCACACACATACTGTATAGCGGCCAGCATGGATCGGTGCTAACTTTGCTGTCTGATCAGAGTATGCATGGTAAGGAAAAAAATTTCACAATACTGAAATGCTTTTGAAACCTGAATAGCAGTAGCATTTTATCGTGTATTATGTTATTAGTTGTTTTGTTTGTGCTTTTAGTTTTTAGTGCTTAATAATGCTATTTTGTGTGTTAGCTTTGACACTTTAGGTTTCAGGCATGCCATGACCATGGCCTTTGCTATTGATGAGATCAACAAGAACTCCAATCTGCTACCTAATGTGACTCTGGGATACAGTCTCGCTGATAACTGTGGTGCACTTGTTGTTGGATTCAGTAGTGCATTATCACTGGCAAGTGGCAGAGAAGAGCAATTTCTGCTTTGGAAGAACTGTTCAGGGACACCTCCTGTCCTGGGTATTGTGGGTGATTCCCCCTCTACATTTTCTATTGCCACCTCCAATGTGCTAGGTTTATACAAAATGCCCATTGTAAGTTTCCTGTCCTCCATATTTTGTATTGTAGTATTTTATAAACTGTATAATTGGTGTCTTTTAAAAGTGATATATGGTTTGAATATAAAACTATTTTCACAGGGTCTGACTTGTATGAAATGGGTAATGTGAGTTTATATGTGTATTTATAGGTAAGTTATTTTTCCACATGTTCCTGCCTGAGTGATCGGCAACGGTTTCCATCCTTCTTTAGAACAATTCCAAGTGATGCTTTCCAGGTAAATCACTATTACCCAGATGAGAACTGCAAACTATGTCTGTTTCAGGCATAAATTTTGCCTTTTTTCTTAGTGGGATGAATTAGGTGTGATTCCATGCATGAAATGTATTTGAATATATAATTGATATAAATTACAATAATTTAAGTTAATTGTATATGTAGTCTAATTTCAGAGATATAATTTTCTGTGCAATAATCCCGTCACACTAATATATCCACTTAGGTGCGTGCTATGATTCAGATTCTAAAACACTTTGGCTGGACTTGGGTAGGCCTGCTGGTCAGTGATGATGACTATGGACTCCATGTTGCTCGATCCTTCCAATCTGACCTGGCTCAGTCTGGAGAAGGTTGTCTGGCCTACTTACAAGTTTTACCGTGGGACAGTGACCGAAGTGAACTCAGGAGGATTGTACATTTGATAAAGACATCAACAGCTCGTGTGGTCATGGTGTTTGCACATGAGTTCCACATGATTCATCTAATGGAAGAGGTTGGAATAAAATGTATATAATTTAGAAATCTGTAATTGTAAGAAACATAATATAAAGATTTTGTTTATTTGTTTCTCCAAACCATAATTTTTCCAGAATCCTATAAATTATAATCAGTTTCATTCAAACAAAATGATCTACAAAAACTGATTACAATTATAGTTTGATCATCGTTAGGTCAAAACTATTAATAATGTTGATAACTTATCCTGTACATATTATCAAAAATTCAACTTGTCAAAAATTCAGCTAAATAAAATCATTGCTTGAAACATTTGAATAAATGTGGGTTTCCATCAGGGTGCAGGCATGAAAGGACCACTACATAAAGGAATAAGACAAGTCATTTAGACCTTTAGATAAAATTGTTTAGGTTTTAAAGCAAAGATTACAAAAAGGAAGCCACTCAACTTCAGTTTTGCATTTTGAGAATACCCAAACCACCCATGCATGCAAGAAACGACTGCTTGTTTTTTGAGTCTGATATGCAGATATTAAATTAGGTGTCTTGCACCTAATGACTTTTTCACACATTTGCTTACATTACTGAAAAAAAGCGGGAAAAGGAAATTGTTGCAGACGCAAATATTTGCCAAAAAGCAGACACAAGTATGATATATTTTATATAATGTAACACAGGTGGTGATGCAGAATGTAACAGGCCGGCAGTGGATAGCCAGTGAAGCTTGGACATCAGCTGCTGTGCTCCAGACACCCCGCATCATGCCGTACCTAAGCGGCACACTGGGCATCGCCATCCGTCGAGGAGAAATACCAGGGCTCAGGGAATTCCTTTTACAAATACGTCCTGACCAAAATGACAGCAACAACTATAATTTGGTAAGATCTTGACATCTGGAATAATGTTTTTAATTGTTAAATCATAACAATTTGAAATAAATAAATAAAATAAAATAAATTATAAAATATATTAGCATATTGTCATTTCACTACTGACTTTATAATACACTGTATTTCAGGTGAGGCAGTTTTGGGAATACACATTTCAGTGTAGATTTGATCCAGCAGATTGGGTGGAAGCAGAGGGACCACTATGTACTGGACAGGAAGATATTGAAAATGTGGAGACTGAGTTTTTGGATCTTTCTAACCTCAGGCCTGAGTACAATGTTTACAAGGCTGTGTATGCTCTGGCATATGCGCTCGATAACATGCTGCAGTGCGAGCCAGGGAGAGGGCCTTTCAGTGGGCACAGCTGTGCCACTTTGGAAAGAATGGAGCCATGGCAGGTGTGATATCAGTTTACACTCCACCGGTTTATGTTTTAAAAACAGCTGCTATGCATTGAGGTACTTTTTGTAAGCACAGACTGCTGTTAATTTCATAATTTTCTTTAAAAAGTAAAATACTTGATGCTGGAAATAATGCGATAAAACAAATATTGTTTTCTGACAGAGGATGACTAATACTAATAAGCTAGTAAGATGAACAACAGCTTCAATTTAAGGTTGTCTTAGAAAAACAAACAGTTCCTGATTTTGTTAAAGAATGTTTGCATAGTAGGATAAACGTCATTTTAGATGAGAGTCTGTCACACTCCTTATCTGTTAATTTTTATTTCTTTCATCCATTTGTAGCTTGTACATTATTTACAAAAGGTTCACTTTACCACACCATTTGGTGATGAAGTCTCATTTGATGAGAACGGTGATGCCTTACCAATATATGATATTGTCAACTGGCTATGGCTCCCTGACGGAAGAACTAAAGTTCATAATGTGGGTGAGGTTAAGAGGTCGGACTCCAAAGTTGAAGAACTCACAATTGATGAAGACAAAATCTCCTGGAACTTTGCATTTAAAGAGGTAATTTCTGTTTTTTCAGACGACTTTCCCTTTTTTGGACTGATTCTTCGTATGTAATTCAGATTTAGTTATCTCCCTACAGCCACCCCGGTCAGTGTGCAGTGAGAGCTGTCCACCAGGAACCCGAATGGGCAGAAAGAAAGGGGAACCTGTGTGCTGTTTTGACTGCATTGCTTGTTCTGAGGGAAAGATCAGCAATAAAACTGGTTGGTGTTTGTTTGTGGTCAATATTTTTTATTTTACTTTAAGAATATTACTGTAAAGCAAGAATGTACTTCCATCTTCCATCTTCCCCCTTTTTCAGACTCCATGGAGTGCATCAGTTGTCCAGAGGACTTCTGGTCTGGCCCCCATCGTGACCACTGTGTTCCTAAGAAAACAGAGTTCCTCTCCTACCATGAGCCTCTGGGTATCTGCTTGACAGCTGCCTCATTGCTGGGCACATTTATCTGTGCTGTTGTCCTGGGGATCTTTATCCATCATCGCAGCACACCCATTGTACGCGCCAATAATTCCGAACTGAGTTTTCTGCTCTTGGTGTCACTTAAACTATGTTTCCTGTGTTCACTGCTGTTTATTGGCCGTCCCAGGCTATGGACATGTCAGCTGAGACATGCAGCATTTGGGATCAGCTTTGTGCTTGCTGTCTCATGTATTTTGGTGAAAACCATGGTAGTTCTGGCTGTGTTCAAGGCTTCCAAGCCAGGAGGTGGAACCAGTCTGAAGTGGTTTGGTGCTATGCAGCAGAGAGGGACAGTTCTGGTTCTTACTTCTATCCAGGCAATAATTTGCACGGCTTGGCTTGTCTCTTCCTCACCAGCTCCTCATAAAAACACTCAATACTACAATGACAAGATCGTTTATGAGTGTGTAGTCGGATCAACCATTGCTTTTGCAGTGTTACTAGGCTATATTGCCTTACTGGCTATCCTTAGCTTCCTGTTAGCATTTCTGGCTAGGAATCTTCCAGACAACTTCAATGAAGCCAAGTTTATCACTTTCAGCATGCTCATTTTCTGTGCTGTGTGGGTGGCCTTTGTCCCAGCTTATGTCAACTCACCAGGCAAATATGCAGATGCAGTGGAGGTATTTGCCATCCTGGCCTCCAGTTTTGGTCTCTTGGTGGCACTGTTTGGACCCAAATGTTACATAATCCTGCTGAAACCAGAGAGGAACACAAAGAAAGCAATCATGGGTCGAGGACCCACCAACTCATAACAGCAGCAGTTGCATCAAAATGATCAACTAGTCTGAACCAGTGTATATTTTCCATTCATTCAGTAGAGAACTGATCTTTAAATGTCCATTTTAACAAATAACTAATCTGTTTTTTTAACTTTGTTTTTACTGTAAGGAATATATTTAGAAGAAACTAGAAGCACTCAAGAATTGTTTCTGTGCAACACACTGCCCATGTTCTGCCTGATGACATTCTCGTGGCTTTTTCCCTACTCTGAGTCTCAACTACTTTTTCTATAAGTCATGTGCAGTTTCCAGCAAAAATACAATTAAAATTATCTGTTCATAATCAGATCGACATCATACCAACAGCATTTACACCTTTCACTACAGTTTTTATGTCTATGTCTGTAGAATATGTCGCAGACATGAAAAAAAGATATATATATTTTTTGTATCTCTTTCAGATTAAAAGCTCTCTTGTTTTTCTGTGGAAAGAATCCAGTCATATGTTAATAAGGCTTTAACTGCATTTTATTTATCAAACACAAACTCAGTATAGCAAGATAGGGCTGGCAGCAGCAGCTCTGCAGCAGAATCCATTTCTGTGTGGTCACCTCAGGTATCCGTTCAGTGAGGCAGCCGTCATGCGCTGCTCAAGCATCCTATGTACGAAAGACAAAAAGCAATGGAAAGCATTAGAACCGGTGTTCACATTTGCTGCCACCGGCTCACTACAGGTTGGACAACAGATTCCATCCACTATCCTGAGAAAAATCCAAGGGCTGCTCATTCCTTTTACTTAAGGATAAAACAAGACCAGTAATTTGATTGGTAAGTTTCATTCATCTGAAACCTATCTGACAGTTGTTAGTGTGTGCATTTTCTATTATAACAGAAAAGCTGGACAGGAGTCTTCCATTGTCTTTCGTCTGACGTGAACAAGTGTTATTCACCTCCTCTACAATCCATACTGGCCATACTTTTGTTTCTCTGTGGCAGCGGTAACCAGACCTGCTTTCACTCACCATTTCTGATAGGAAGCGCTGCACCTGCCTCAGTGTTAAAGTTAATGAGCTGGAGGGAAAATATCCACTCTGTATCAGATCAAGGATGCAGAGAGGATCATGGACACCCTTGTATCTGTTGGACCTGCAGCAACAGCCGCGGCAGAGCTGGACGTGCACAGGTGCCACCTCTACAGTGGCCGACAAGGGCAAATACACCGCATACGGCAAAACGCTGCAAACACAGGAATGATGCAAAACCAAAAACACACAAACACATAAAACAAATGCAACAGAAAAACGCAGCAAATACCTAAAACACACAAAAACCCAAAACAACTGCAAGAGAGAAATGCTGCAAATTCACTCCACAAAACGTAAGAGTGCCAAGCCACTAGGGGGACCCAACCTGAGGGATGGACCAGTCCTGTGGGACCAGACCCGAAAGACATGAAGAAGAAGAAGAAGAAAAAGAAGAAAGTTGGCAATATTATAGAAGCAACATAGCTAATGTTAGCGTGCTGGAAACTTTGATTTATAACAGCTTGTGTTTATGTAAGGGATAATGCCTAACTAATGTTAGACAATAGAGGAGGACGGCAGTGGAGAGAGGTTCAAATGAGACCACAACACAGAAAACACAAATCAAACACCTATATAATTTACTGAAAGTGTATTATTAAAAAAGGTCTTATTTAAATGTTCAGGAAAATGAAATATCCACTCTCTCTGACGTAATCTTGCCGATTTAATAATCTCCTCTTTCCCCTCACAGAGAGTAGAGTGAATTTGCAGCATTTCTCTATTGCAGTTGTTTTGGGGTTTTGTGTGTTTTTGGTTTTTGCAGCATTTTCTTTGACATTTGTTTTGTTGGTTTGTAAGTTTTTGCTTCTGCTTCGTTTCTGTGATTGCAGCATTTTTCTGTTGCTGCGTTTTTCTGTTGCTGCGTTTTTCTGTTGCATTTGTTTTATGTGTTTGTGTGTTCTTGGTTTTGCATCATTCCTGTGTTTGCAGCGTTTTGCCGTTTGCGGCGCGTTTGCCCTTGTCGGCCACCGTAAACCTCTCCATCTCTGCCCATTGATCTGTGGATCTAGCTAGGAGCAAGGCCAAAAGCACCTGTCAGCTACATGCAGTAGGTGTGTAATCCTAAAAAGTATAAAAGATAATTTTCCTGGTCCCCTCCACTCCAAGTTATGCAGTTGAACAGATTAGACTTCCTGAATGAACACCTGGTCACCTGCAGCCTGTGGAAGGTACCCAGAATTCACTGTTTAAGGATGGAAAAGCTACAGCATCGATTTGAGCAGTTAAACGCGGACAAACCTCATCCTACCCATAGAAGTGTTCTTCTTCACAGAATTAGGGCACCTCACCTCTCGTTATTGGCGTGCCCCATATTCTCACTAATAATTGCTGACCTCAATTGTGGGACATGTACCAAAGAAAACAAGTAAAACAGTCTCCTACCCTTGTGCTAAGGTCTTGGATATTAAAGCAAAAATCCCAAATATCATGAATGACCACTCCTCTGCACTGACAAAACTGAAAACCAAGGTTGACCGTGCGTTGTGAATGTGAATGTGTGATACCAAGAGAAATAAAATAAGAGTTGAAAAAGAGAAAAAAAAAATTAAATACTGCTCACCTGAAACAAAAAAGAATAAACTCCCAATCCATGCTACGTAGTTCATAAAAACCCCAGGTATTTTCAAAATGTATTCAAATAATAACCAAGACGGGCTTTAATTTTCTGATAAAAAATAAGAAATAAAGAAGATACACATTAGAATTATTCACATAATGTGCTTCATTGGTTACATTTGCTGAAACACTTGGTGATGTGCCACAGCATTTTACTTTTTTATAGGTACGTTTTATAGGTTATATTCACATAATTAAGTTTATACGTGTATTATGTCCTGCCCCGTAGCCTGTGCTCTGATGGGTGGTGTGAATGATTAAACAGTGACGGAAATCATGTAATGTGGATGACATAGCCCTGCATATAAAATTAAGCAATGTTGTTTGACGAACAGAAACGGTTGTGAAGGGAGGAGGGCAGCTATGGGAGCGTTTCTTGACACATATTTTCTCTTGTGTGTCTACCTTATCTTGTTTTTCTCTCCCTCTTTAAACTGTGTATCTTCTTCTTTTCCCTCATCTTGTAAATTACGGAGAAAGTTTCGTCTTAGTGAAATGCACAAGCCTGGCGATGTGGTTCTAGGTGGGTTGTTTGAGGTCCACTACACCTCTGTCTTCCCTGAGCAGACATTTACCTCAGAGCCACAACAGCCCATCTGCAAAGGGTAAGTTTGACACACATACTGTATAGCGGCCAGCATGGATCTGTGCAATTACTGTCATCTACTCAGAGTATTGATTGGTACGGAAGAAAATGTCACTGTATTTGATATTTAAAAACATTCAAATACATCTTTAAAAAGTATTGCAACAGAACCATATTACTTTTCAGTTGTTAATAATGATATAGTATTTTGTGTGTTAGCTTTGACATTTTAGGGTTCAGGCATGCCATGACCATGGTCTTTGCTATTGATGAGATCAACAAGAACTCCAATCTGCTACCTAATGTGACTCTGGGATACAGTCTTTATGATAACTGCGCTACACTTGTTATTGGATTCAGTGGTGCATTATCACTGGCAAGTGGTCGAGAGGAGCAGTTTCTGCTTCAGGAGAACTGCTCAGGGACACCTCCAGTCTTGGGGATTGTGGGTGATCCCCATTCTACATTTACTATTGCCACCTCCAATGTGCTAGGTTTATACAAAATGCCCCTTGTAAGTTTCCTGTCATCTATCTTTTGTATCTTTGGACCTCTTGAAGGCTATTTTTAAAGTGATACATTGTTGAAATATGAAAATATTTTGAATGGGTCTGACGCTCATGTTTCCTTATAGGTGAGTTATTTTGCCACATGCTCCTGCTTGAGTGATCGCAAACGATTTCCATCCTTCTTTAGAACAATCCCAAGTGATGCTTTCCAGGTAAATCACTATTACCAAGTTGAGAATTACAAACTATGTCTGTTTTTAGGCAGCACAGCAAGCTTGTAGAAATTGTTCCTGATTACACAAAACTTATCTTTTCTCTTCAGGGGATTAATTACCTGTGATTCTATTGTGAAACATATATAAATAATGTAATGTGTATAAGCTGCAATGATATAACATGTTTATATATGTCCCTGTAAAATAATACTATACTCATCTGTGCACTATTCTCTTCATACCAATATATTCACTTAGGTGCGTGCTATGATTCAGATTCTAAAACGCTTTGGCTGGACTTGGGCAGGCCTGTTGGTCACTGATGATGACTATGGACTTAATGTTGCCCGTTCCTTCCAATCTGACCTTACTCAGTCTGGTGGAGGTTGTCTGGCCTACTTACAGGTTTTGCCCTGGGACCATGACCCAAGTGAACTGAGGAGGATTGTGGATGCGATCAAAAAATCCACTGCTCGTGTGGTCATAGTTTTTGCACATGAGGCTCACATGATTAACCTCATGGAAGAGGTTGGGCTTCAACTTAATTATATCTTAATATAATTAAACTACTTAATGTTCTATTTGTTAAAATGAAAAAAAAGACAGTATACATAGCATAATGTTTAATGTGGTCAAAGCAGGAAAGTCAGTGAATCAGTCTGTATTGATCTATAAATGGATGATTCTTACAGTATCTGCTTTCAAGAGCTGCTTTTTTACTGTATAAAAAGCTTTTCCTTCAGTTCATGAAGTCCCTGCAGCATCTGAAGGGAGCAGGGCTTATACAGCCTCTGAGAAGTGCTTTGCCAGAGTACTGTTCCATTACGCACAGCTGTCCCACAAACTAAAGCAAATTGTAACCTTCAGTTATGCATTTTGAGAAAGCCCACCAATCATGCATGAAAAAACAGTTGTGCTTATTAACTTATTTAGGTCCATAATGACTGCTACTGTTTAACATAAATTGAAATATGCCCACCCAATTTTAAATTGGGCATCTTGCACTTAATAAGAGTTTTACACCTGTGGGTGTGACTTAAAAGCCAGGCAGAGGAATTGTTTTTGACAGATTTTCTACAAAGTAAAATGTATTTCGCTGTATTAAGGAGAAGTCTGAAATATTTGACATAATGCTACACAGGTGGTGAGGCAGAATGCTACAGGCCAGCAGTGGATAGCAAGTGAAGCTTGGACAGCAGCTACTGTGCTCCAGACACCCCGGCTCATGCCATACCTGGCTGGGACGTTGGGTATTGCCATCCGTCGAGGAGAAATACCAGGACTCAGGGAATTCCTCCTACAAATAAGTCCTTACCAAAATGACATTAACTATGAAAATAACATGGTAAGAATTTAATCTTACAGTTTTATATATCTATCTAATGCATCATTTTAATAGATATATTTTTATATTTTGTCATTTTTTTGTCAATATTGACTGTACAATACACTGTATTTCAGGTGAGGCAGTTTTGGGAATCCACATTTCAGTGTAGATTTGATCCAGCAGGTTGGGTGGAAACAGGGGGACAACTATGTACTGGACAGGAAGATATTGAAAATGTGGAAACTGAGTTTTGGGACCTTTCTAACCTCAGGCCTGAGTACAATGTTTACAAGGCTGTGTATGCTCTGGCATATGCGCTTGATAACATTTTGCAGTGCGAGCCAGGGAGAGGGCCTTTCAGTGGGCACAGCTGTGCCACTTTGGAAAGACTGGAGCCATGGCAGGTGTGATATCAGTTTACACTCCACCTGTTTGTGTGTTTAAAAGCTGCTATGCCTTGAGGTACTAATTGAATTTAGTTTTGTGAGTAATTCCTGTGTGAATTTTCTTTCAAAAGTAACAAGCAGGATAAAACACCTTGCCATTTTATTATGTGACAGTGATTACCGACTAATGACATTAAGCTAAATACAAAAATGACTCAATACTTGGATAAAACTTTTGAAAGATAAACTTTCATGATTGTGTTATAAATAAATAATCTTTCACACTCTTAATTTGTTTATTTGCATTTCTATCATCCATTTGTAGCTTGTACATTATTTGCAGAAGGTCAACTTTACCACACCATTTGGTGATGAAGTGTCATTTGATGAGAATGGTGATGCCATACCAATATATGATATCATGAACTGGCTATGGCTCCCTGATGGAAGAACTAAAGTCCATAACGTGGGTGAGGTTAAGAGGTCAGACTCCAAAGGTGAAGAACTCACAATTGATGAAAGCAACATTTTTTGGAACTTTGAACCGAACAAGGTTATTTTAGCTTTTTCAAATACTTGTCCTTTATGAAATCTTAGTATATAGTAGTATAATAGAATAATAAAATAACAGATTTAATTGTCTCCCTACAGCCACCCCGGTCAGTGTGCAGTGAGAACTGTCCTCCAGGTACACGCATGGCCAGAAAGAAAGGGGAACCTGTGTGTTGTTTTGACTGCATTCCTTGTTCTGAGGGAAAGATCAGCAATAAGACTGGTAAGTGTTTGTGGTCAATATTTAATTTTATTTTAAGGATATTAAAAGTATCTCACCATCTTCCCCCTTTTTCAGATTCCATGGAGTGCACCAGTTGTCCAGAGGACTTCTGGTCCAGTCCTCAGCGTGACCACTGTGTTCCTAAGAAAACAGAGTTTCTCTCCTACAATGAGCCTCTGGGTATCTGTTTGACGACCACCTCATTGCTGGGCACATTTATCTGTGCTGTTGTCCTGGGAATCTTCACCTATCATCGAAGCACACCCATGGTACGCGCCAATAATTCCGAACTGAGTTTCCTGCTCTTGGTGTCACTTAAACTGTGTTTCCTGTGTTCACTGCTGTTTATCGGCCGTCCCAGGCTATGGACATGTCAGCTGAGACATGCAGCATTTGGGATCAGCTTTGTGCTTGCTGTCTCATGTATTCTGGTGAAAACCATGGTGGTTCTGGCTGTGTTCAAGGCCTCCAAGCCAGGAGGTGGTACCAGTCTGAAGTGGTTTGGTGCTATGCAGCAGAGAGGGACAGTTCTGGTTCTTACTTCTATCCAGGCCGTAATTTGCACGGCTTGGCTTGTCTCTTCCTCACCAGCTCCTCATAAAAACACTCAATACTACAATGACAAGATAGTTTATGAGTGTGTAGTTGGGTCTACCATTGCTTTTGGAGTGTTACTGGGTTACATTGCCTTACTGGCTATCCTTAGCTTCCTGTTAGCATTTCTGGCAAGGAATCTTCCAGACAACTTCAATGAGGCCAAGTTTATCACTTTCAGCATGCTGATCTTTTGTGCTGTGTGGGTGGCCTTTGTCCCTGCTTATGTCAACTCCCCAGGCAAATATGCAGATGCAGTGGAGGTATTTGCCATCCTGGCCTCCAGTTTTGGCCTCTTGCTGGCACTGTTTGGACCCAAATGTTACATAATCCTGCTGAGACCAGAGAGAAACACAAAGAAAGCAATCATGGGTCGAGGCACCCCCAAGTCATAAAAGTAGGATTATCTGTAAAATTATTAGCTAGTCTGAATCAGTACTTATGTTGTATGTATTCATGACAGATCTGCTATTAAATGCAAATGTACAACACAAGTAACCAGCTCTTTAAATTAAAAAAATGTCTTTTTTGTAAATAATCCTTGTGAGACTTTGAAAGGCTTTGCTTTAGTTTCTACCTGACAACCTAAAAGATGAAATTAAACAACACGTACTAAAGAGAAACACAAAGAAAGCAATCATGGGTCGAGCACCCACCAACTCATAAATGTAACAGTTAGATTAAAATGATCAACTAGTCTGACCCAATGTATATTTTGCTTTCATTTAGCAGAGAACTGCCCTTGAAATGACCAATATAACAGATATCTGACCTGCTTTTTAACTTTGTTTATACTGTAAAGAATACATTTAGAAGAAACTGAAAGCAATAAAAAAATGTTTGTGTGAAAAATATGCTTTATCAGTGCCCATTTTCTGCTTGATCACATTCCCTTGGATTTTAGAGACTTTCTCAGGCTTTACCTCATTTCCCACCCAACTAAAACTAACTGAAACTAGATGAAATTAAACTACTTTTAATGTGGCCTTTGTTCAAACAGGTTCCCCAAAAAAGACTATTTCAATTTTGAGCAAGCTTCCCCAACTTACCCAAAGTAAGAGAAAAATCCATGGGAAGCATCAGAACTAGTTTGTTTTTTTAGTGTTCATATTTGCGGCAACTACTTTCCAACAGATTCTGTCTACTATCCTGAGAAAAAATCCAGGGGGGCATTGTTCTTTTCAGTGAAGGATCAACATGAACAAGATCAGTTCTATTGGAATGGAAGTGGGCCCAGTTTTGGGTCCTGATTGGTATGTTTCATTCACTTGAAACTTGTCTGACAGCTGTTGGTGTATGCATTGCCTTTTACAACACTGCAGGCTCTAGACAGGAGCCCTCGTGTAATCGTGCCGGTCTGTCTTCCACTGTCTCTCATCTGCTGTTAACTGGTGTTATTCACCTCCTGTACAATTCATACTGGCCATAGTTGTGTTTCTCTGTGGCACCAGTAACCAGACCTGCTTCCACTCACCATTTCTGACTGTGAGAGCTGCACTTCAGCCTTAAAGTTAAGGAGCTGGAGGGAAGAACATCCCCTCTATTAGATCAAGGACACAGAAAGACTCATGGACACCCTCGTACCTGTGTGGACCTGCAGCAACAGCTGCAGCAGAGCTGGACTCGATTATTTTGTGCACAGGTGACACCTCTCCATCTCTGCCCATTGATCTGTGGATCTAGCTTAGAGCAAGGCCAAAGTCAATTGTCAGCTCCATGCCGCATCTGCAGGAGCAGTGGACTAGAGCATGTAATCCCAAAAAAACGTAAGAGATCCTTTTCCCAGTCTCCTCAGCACCAAGATATCCAGCAGATTTGATATGATGAATGAACAACATTTTCCACTGCTGTCTGGTCACTTGAAGCATGTCACCATTTAAGGATGGAAAAGCTACAGTGCAAGTTCAAGCCAAGTTAAACAAAAGGTTCATCCTATCGATGGAACTGTCCTTCACAGAATTGGCGCACCTCAAGCACCCCGCTGCTTCCTCGGACTGAGCCCCCCATATTCTCACTAATTATTTGTGACTATTGACATCAAAGCAGTGATCCCAAATAATATGAATGACCACTCCTCTGTGGAATTAAATTTTATTTGTATTGTACCAATTCATAACAAAAGTTTTCACTGAGCAGGTTTTTCAAATAGACTTCTTAAGACTTAAAACCAAGGAGACTGTGCGTTTTCAGTCATGGCTCCACGGCTTTGCAACAGCCTTCCCTTCCCAAAAAAATATTAGTAGAACGCTTGTAGCCACCACTGTACACGCTAAGGAGCACAACTTTTCTGAGCGGACAGCACCAAGGTTCGGAGAGGAGAAAAGAGTGAAGAGGAAAGAAGAGGGCCTTGTCATGGTGACATGTCCAGGAAGTGACCAGAAATGTTATGGCGTTACGTTTCATAATAAAAGTTCATTTTAAATTCTACCAAATGATCAAATTAATCTGTGAAGTCCCAGTGGTCCCAACATATGTGAAACTTAACTTTGACCACCAGGTGAAGTCAGTTGTCAAAACGTGCGTTTGACTCAAAAAAAGGTATCTGCTGAACATTGGTAAACTGTCATCCATGCTTTCATTACATCCTGGTTAAAGGCTGTTTTCCTGTCTCACCAATACAATTCAAAACGCTGCAGCAAGACTACTTACAAAATCCAGTAGAAGAGCCCACATAATGCCTAGCATCTCTACATTGGTTTTATACACACATTAAAATTGATTAAAAAATTTGATTACTTTTAAAGCACACATGGGGTTGCCTCCTGATTATCACTGAAACCAAACCAAACCAAACCAAAATAATAATTCCTAGCTTAAGGCTAAAAACCATAGAAGAACAGGCCTTTGCAGTCTGGGCCCCACAACTCCGGAACAACCTGCCAGAGGAAATCAGCCTCTTTAGTGAATTAAGTAACTTTTTACCCTTTGTGACTGAAACTTTTAACTTTAAGTGAGCTCATTTTCCCTGTAGCCATGATAATACCATAGATGCAAGAATCCAATCAAGAAGAAGAAGGAGAAAGAAAAAATAATGCTCACCTGAGAAAAAAACAATAGAATCCCAATTAATGCTACGTAGTTCATTCCCCAGACATTTTAAAAATGCATTTAAATAATAAGCAAGATGGGCTTTAACTTACCGATAGAAAAACAAAAGAAGATGAATATAAAAATTATTTTCAAAATATGTAATATGGTTCATAATTGCCATAATATGGCATAGCATTTTATTTATTTATTTGTGTTTTATGTCCTGCCCACCTAGCCTGTGCCCTGATGGGTGGTGTGAATGATTAAACGATGATGGAAAGCATGGAATGTGGATGACATAGCCCTGTATATAAAATTAAGCAACGGTGGATGAGGAAGAGAAACAGTTGTGAGGGGAGGAGGGCAGCTATGGGAGCTTTTTTTGGAACATATTTCCTTTTGTGTGTCTGTCTTATCTGGCTATTTTTCTCTTCGTCCTCGTTATATATTGCATCCCCCTCTTCTTTATCATCGTCATCTTGTAAATTACGGAGAAAGTTTCAACTCAATGAAGCGCACAAGCCTGGTGATGTGGTTCTAGGTGGGCTGTTTGAGGTCCACTACACCTCTGTCTTCCCTGAGCAGACATTTACCTCAGAGCCACAACAACCCATCTGCAAAGGGTAAGTTTGACACACATACTGTATAGCGGCCAGCATGGATCTGTGCAAATACTGTCATATACTCAGAGTATTGATTGGTAAGAATGAAAATGGCACTGTGCACAAATTCTTATAAAACCTGAGTAATGTAGCTTTTCATGACCGTTTAGTTTAAGTTTGATAGTATGGTTTAAGTATTGCAATATATATAGATCCATATTACTCTTCAGTGGTTAATAATGATACAGTATTTTGTGTGTTAGCTTTGACACTCTAGGGTTCAGGCATGCCATGACCATGGCCTTTGCTATTGATGAAATCAACAAGAACTCCAATCTGCTACCTAATGTGACTCTGGGATACAGTCTTTATGATAACTGTGGTGCACTTGTCATTGGATTCAGTGGTGCATTATCATTGGCAAGTGGTCGAGAGGAGCAGTTTCTGCTTCAGCAGAACTGTTTAGGGACACCTCCAGTCTTGGGGATTGTGGGTGATTCCTACTCTACGTTTTCTATTGCCACCTCCAATGTGCTAGGTTTATACAAAATGCCCATTGTAAGTTTCCTGTCCTCTATATTTTGTATTGTAGTATTTTATAAACTGTATCTATCTTTTGTATCTTTGAAGGCCATTTTTAAAGTGATACATTGTTGCAAAATGAAAATATTTTGAATGGGTCTGACTCTCATGTTTCTTTATAGGTGAGTTATTTTGCCACATGCTCCTGCTTGAGTAATCGCAAACGATTTCCATCCTTCTTTAGAACGATCCCAAGTGATGCTTTCCAGGTGAATCACTATTACCAAGTTGAGAATTACAGTTTCAGGCAGCACAGCAAACTTTTCTCTTCGTGGGATTAATTAACTGTGATTCTATGGTGAAAAATGTGTAAATAATGTAATGTATATAAGCTGCAATGATTTAACATGCTTATATATGTCCCTTTAAAAGAATACTGTACTCATCTGTGCACTAATCTCTTCACACTAATATATTCACTTAGGTGCGTGCTATGATTCAGATTCTAAAACGTTTTGGTTGGACTTGGGTAGGCCTGTTGGTCACAGATGATGACTATGGACTCCATGTTGCCCGTTCCTTCCAATCTGACCTTGCTCAGTCTGGTGGAGGTTGTCTGGCCTACTTGGAGGTTTTGCCCTGGGACCATGACCCAAGTGAACTTAGGAGGATTGTGAATGTGATGAAGAAATCCACAGCTCGTGTGGTCATGGTGTTTGCACATGAGGGTCACATGATTAACCTCATGGAAGAGGTATGATTCAAACTTAATCATAACTTAATATAATGATCCAACTTAATGTTCCTATATCATATTTATCAAAATGAAAAAGTTACTGTAACAATGGTCCTGTGATGAGTAGATTAAATTGAATAATTCACACCTCTGTTAAAGGCACTGTTGCAGGGTTTTAAGGATTGTACATAAGAAATAGACATCTAGAGATCTATGCAGCATAAATTCACATAAAAAGATTGTATCTACATTGTAAATTAATTTAGAGAATATAGATAATAAAGCCACAGATGGAAAGCAGCCTGCTGATATGGTAATAACTGTATTTTCAAACACAATGTATCAGAAGAAGCATAACGTTTAATGTGGTTAAAGTAGGAATGTAAATCAGTCTGCATTGATCTATGAATGAATGATTCTTACAGTATCTGCTGTCAAAAGCTGCTTTATACTATATGAGAAGTTTTTCCAGAAAACAACACCAGGCTTCTATGGTATAACTATACTCACATCTTCACATATCAGACTGGTCGGTTATTTTTCTTAAGGAGACATCCAATGTCCAAGGCTCAGTAATTCATGTTACATAAGGTGATACACAGAATAGAATTATTGCACATGCCCCAATTGGAATGACACCACTGAAAATCAGCTCCATAAAACATGAAACAATGAATGAAACAAGGCTAGACTTAAAATGTAATAAAATTAATAAATCCATGAGTTCACACTGGAAAAAAAGGACCTGTATCCGGAAAGATCCAATGGTATAAGTTTATAGATCTGTATTCATGCCATGGACATACCAGATCATATCATATTATATAAAAACATAACAGCTATCAATAATCCAATCTGTAATTTTCTGCACAGTGTCCATGCCTTTCACAAATCAAAACATTCCAGTGTCAAGAAACTTTTATAAACATTTTATTTTAATATTTCAATGACAGTTTCAATCAAGTTTCAATAAATAAATAAAAACCTACAGCACCAAACCACCCATTATGCATGAAAAAACAGCTGTTAAACAAACAAGTGTTTATTTACCTATTTAGATCCATTGTGACATTTTTTTAACATTAATTGAAATATGCCCACACTATTTAAATCTGTGCGTCTGTGCATGTGTCTTAAAATAAGACAGGCAGAGGAATTCCTTTCGACAGATTTGCGGCAAATAAAAATAGATTTTTACACGAGAAGTCTAAAAGATATATTTTATATAATGCTACACAGGTGGTGAGGCAGAATGCAACAGGCCAGCAGTGGATAGCAAGTGAAGCTTGGACAGCAGCTGCTGTGCTCCAGACACCTCGCCTCATGCCGTACCTGGCTGGCACACTGGGCATCGCCATCCGCCGAGGAGAAATACCAGGGCTCAGGGAATTTCTTTTACAAATACGTCTTGATCAAAATAACAGCGTCAACAATGAAAATAACATGGTGAGAACTGAATCCTACAATTTTAGCTATGTAATAAATTATTTTAATAGATAACAAATAATATTTTGTCATTTCTGTCAACATTGACTTTACAATACATTGTATTTCAGGTGAGGCAGTTTTGGGAATCCACATTTCAGTGTAGATTTGATCCAGCAGGTTGGGTGGAAGCAGAGGGACCACTATGTACTGGACTGGAAAATATTGAAAATGTGGAAACTGAGTTTTTGGATCTTTCTAACCTCAGGCCTGAGTACAATGTTTACAAGGCTGTGTATGCTCTGGCATATGCGCTTGATAACATGCTGCAGTGCGAGCCAGGGAGAGGGCCTTTCAGTGGGCACAGCTGTGCCACTTTGGAAAGACTGGAGCCATGGCAGGTGTGATATCAGTTTACACTCCACCTGTTTATGTTTTAAAAACAGCTGCTACGCATTGAGGTACTTTTTGAATTTAGTTTTGTGAGTACTTTTAAGTGAATTTTCTTTCAAGAGTAAAATATTTTACACCAGAAATAGCAGGATAACACACATTGCCATTTTATTATGTGACAGTGATGACTGACTAACGACAAAATGCTAAATAGACAAATGACAGTCTGAATTTCAGGGTGTCTCAATACTTGGATAAAACTTTTGGAAGATAAACTTTCATGATTGTGTTATACATAAATAATCTTTTACCCTCTTAATTTGTTCATTTATATTTCTATCATCCATTTGTAGCTTGTACATTATTTGCAGAAGGTCAACTTCACAACATCATTTGGTGATGAAGTATCATTTGATGAGAACGGTGATGCCCTACCAATATATGATATCATGACCTGGCTACGGCTCCCTAATGGAGGATGTAAAGTTCAGAATGTGGGTGAGGTTAAGAGGTCAGACTCCAAAGGTGAAGAACTCACAATTGATGAAAGCAACATTTTTTGGAACTTTGAATCGAACAAGGTTATTTTAGCTTCTTCAAATAACTCTCCTCTATGAAATTTAAAACTTAGTATATAGTAGTATAATAGAATAATAGAATAACAGAATAACAGATTCAATTATCTCCCTACAGCCACCCCGGTCAGTGTGCAGTGAGAACTGTCCTCCAGGAACCCGCATTGCCAGAAAGAAAGGGGAACCTGTGTGTTGTTTTGACTGCATTCCTTGTTCTGAGGGAAAGATCAGCAATAAGACTGGTAAGTGTTTGTGGTCAGTATTTAATTTTATTTTAAGGATATAATATATACGGGTTATCAAGAATGTATCTCACCATCTCCCTTTTTCAGACTCCATGGAGTGCACCAGTTGTCCAGAGGACTTCTGGTCCAGTCCTCAGCGTGACCACTGTGTTCCTAAGAAAACAGAGTTTCTCTCCTACAGTGAGCCTCTGGGTATCTGTTTGACGACCACCTCATTGCTGGGCACATTTATCTGTGCTGTTGTCCTGGGAATCTTCACCTATCATCGAAGCACACCCATGGTACGCGCCAATAATTCCGAACTGAGTTTTCTGCTCTTGGTGTCACTTAAACTGTGTTTCCTGTGTTCACTGCTGTTTATTGGCCGTCCCAGGCTATGGACATGCCAGCTGAGACATGCAGCATTTGGGATCAGCTTTGTGCTTGCTGTCTCATGTATTCTGGTGAAAACCATGGTGGTTCTGGCTGTGTTCAAGGCTTCCAAGCCAGGAGGTGGAACCAGTCTGAAATGGTTTGGTGCTATGCAGCAGAGAGGGACAGTTCTGGTTCTTACTTCTATCCAGGCAGCAATCTGCACAGCTTGGCTTGTCTCTTCCTCGCCAGCTCCTCATAAAAATACAGAATACCATAATGACAAGATCGTTTATGAGTGTGTTGTAGGGTCCACAGTTGGTTTTGCAGTGTTACTGGGTTACATTGGCTTACTGGCAATCCTTAGCTTCCTGTTAGCCTTCCTGGCAAGGAATCTTCCAGACAACTTCAATGAGGCCAAGTTTATCACTTTCAGCATGCTTATTTTCTGTGCTGTATGGGTGGCCTTTGTCCCTGCTTACGTCAACTCACCAGGCAAATATGCCGATGCTGTGGAGGTATTTGCCATTCTGGCCTCCAGTTTTGGCCTCTTGCTGGCACTGTTTGGACCCAAATGTTTCATAATCCTGCTGAGACCAGAGAGGAACACAAAGAAAGCGATCATGGGTCGAGGAACCATTAAGTCATGAAAGCAGCATTTACAGGAAAATTATCAGTCATAACCATTAGTATGTATTTTGCATTCATTCATTAGTGATCTTCCCCTTAAATTGCCAGCAGAAGTAACCTGCTTAATAACTTCAGAAATGTTTTTACTGTATAACAGAAATTTGGAAGAAACCAGAAGAGTTAAATGTTTGTGTGAAACAGAATCTTACTTTATTGTTTCTGCCTAGATTATGAGATAATCTGAAAGGCTTCAGTTTCTACCTGACTAAAACTCAAAGATTAAATTAAACTACTTTTCCTGTGACTGTTGATTATGAAGAAGCTGTCTCCAAACAAGAGAAAAAAACAACAGGAATCACATCATCATCATTACATCATGGTCATAATAATTTACACAAGTCTGATTAATGGAAACATTCATAATGTGGAATTAAGATAAAGGCCAAATCTGAAATGTTGTCATTGTATGTGAATATGAGCCAAGAAGCATGACTTATCCAGGTTGCGCTTACATTACTACCTGAAGAGCAGCTAAAACACAATACACAATATTCACTACATCATGTATAGAGGTTTTCGCTTTGAGACAAACAGCAAAACATCATCTGCATAGATTGTGATTCTGTTACTTTTTGTACCCGAATTGACACCCTTAAGGTCATTGTGAATTAAAATGTTTGTAAATGGCTCATTTGCATGTTCCTTTTTAAAGTTTTTAAGGTTCCCATTTACAATAACCCTCACAGAATACACAAGTACAAAGAGTATAACAATTTCTCTAAAACCTAACCTTGTGTATTCACATGATGCTACCCATTTTTGTTCCAAATTTCAAGATTTCTGATGGAGCAGGTCATGGTTGGTTTAATATAAATCAAGTGTCTAATTAGCAGACAACCTATGCTTAATAAAACCAATTTGGTCTGACTTGACAAATTGAGGTAAAAATATTACATAAAGAGTTAAGTGAACATTTTACGCTCAATACAATCTTTTCAATCATAAGAGGCAATCCTCTGGACACTAAATATGCATCCCCTTTTATCTTTTAAGAAAAAGATGAATAAGCTATGCTTTTATTACAAGTGTTTTACATCATTTAAGTCTGTCTTTTAGAGGAAGGCAATTTGGCTATACTGCCTTTTCAGTCAAGTCAGTAAATTTTATACTTTTTGGAATTAGTGCCATTTAGCAGTGAGGTTGCAGACTACAACCAACTAAATACCCCCACCTCACCGTAGCCATCCAAGGGTGCAGAATTTATGATTGCAGCGGAATTAATTTAGCTTGAGCTCATGACAACACCATAGCTACACCATATCATACTATTACAGAACAGAATAAAACCACTCCTCTCTAAAAAATGGTTAATTACAGCATGACCCACACCTTTAAGCATTACAAGGCAATGTCAAACTACCCCACAAACATATGGTACATATATTACATTTTATTGATGAAATGGCATGTGTAATACCAAGATAATAACAATATATAATATAAAAAGAAAGAAATCTAAAATATTAAAGAGGTAAGTAAAGAGGACTAAAACAATAGGCTCCTCAGTAAATGTCATGTGGTGGATTATAGTTCCCAGACATTTATAAAATGTTTTTAAATAATAAACTGTATGGGTTGTGATTTTCCAATAGAAAAACAAAAGAAGATAAACATTAACCCTCATCCTACTCACTGGGGTACCTGTAGAATATAGAGATATACTTTTTATCATGTCTCAGAAGTGCTTTCTATCATTCCAGTTTTTCATGACTTTGACAATCAGTGTGTTCATAATGAATGTAGGACCCCAATGTATTGGGGTCCTGGGGAGCCCAGTCAAAAGCACCCAAAGTATCACACACTATCAGGTGTTGTGACAATGTGTGATGGTGTGCTATTAAAACACCTGATATCATGTGCTATTTCAGTTTTACACAATTTGCAAATCAACATTATTACATAAGTAATAATGCTTTGGGAAAATATAAATTAACATTTTGCTATGATAATTGTTTGTTACAGTAGTTTATACTACTACAGCAACAAGTTGTCATCCAAGTTGTATGTTGAACATGCTGGTAGGAGGAGGGTAAAAATCATTTATAAAATGTGGTTAATGGATTATATTATGATTATATTTGCTGAAAAAAACATAATGATATAGAATACAATTTCACATCAAGTTTTGGTAACACTTTATAATGAGTACACACTATTAGGCATTAGTTAAGCATGAATAAATACTGAATTCATCATTTATAACGCATGAATACACATTAGTATGTAGTTTATAAACACAGTTAAAAATGTTTTATTCATCATTGATAAGCACATTAGTTATGGATTAGTAAATACTGAATTCATCATTTATAAAGTATGATTCTCCTGTAAATAGTCATTACTATGTGGTTTATAATCACAGTTATAAATGTTTTACTCTTCATTGTACTGTACATTTCTGCATGCACTTGCACATCCACTATTCAGACATGTATTAATGATTAGTGACTGTGTTAGCAGATGTTTTATAAAAACTCACAACAAATTCATTTTCTAATGATGGCCTATAAACAGTGATTAATGCAGGAATTCACAGTTACAAAGCACTTACTACTCGTTAATTAAGTATTTTGCGCGAGCTTATCTAAAGTGAGCACTATCTATGGCTTATTAAGCATTTACAAATGAGATATAAAGGCTGGCAATGCCTCAAGACTCACAAAATGTTCAGTTATCTTAACAGACGAAGGAGAGACACAACACAAAGGGATATAGAACATATTGTATTGATATTTACTGCAACTTCCTAACATATTGCATGAAGACGAACAAGGGTGGTTTATGAAGACATGCTATTGTTGTGATCTTATCTGTTTGGGACGTGTACGTAAATATGACGTAACATCCCGCCTCCCGCTCTCATCACGTTGATGACGTGCTGATGTTACGTCCTATTTACATTAACTCTCAGAAGTTTCCGACCTGCCGCTGCTAGGTACTCACCTCGCCCGGCTAGACTAGACTAGGTCGGCTTAGCCACCGCGGGCGGGTCGGTAACGTTAGTAACGTTACTAACGTTAGTCGGGGAGCGAGGGCAAACACCTGCAGCTGTTGACAAGCTAACGTTAGCTTTCACCATAATGTGTGCTACCAAACAAAGACATACTAACCACTAGTGCCGCTGACGGCCGCCGACTCCAATGTGCTTCTCCATGCTCCCCTTGGCTGCACTGTCAGAAACTTCTGAGAGTTAACGTAAATATGACGTAACATCCCGCCTCCCGCTCTCATCACGTTGGATGTTACGTCATATTTACGTACACGTCCCAAACAGATAAGATCACAACAATAGCATGTCTTCATAAACCACCCTTGTTCGTCTTCATACAATATCTTGGGAAGTTTCAGTAAATATCAATACAATATGTTCTATATCCCTTTGTGTTGTGTCTCTCCTTCGTCTGTTAAGATAACTGAACATTTTGTGAGTCTTGAGGCATTGTCAGCCTTTATATCTCATTTGTAAATGCTTAATAAGCCATAGATAGTGCTCACTTTAGATAAGCTCGCGCAAAATACTTAATTAACGAGTAGTAAGTGCTTTATAACTGTGAATTCCTGCATTAATCACTGTTTATAGGCCATCATTAGAAAATTAATTTGTTGTGAGTTTTTATAAAACATCTGCTAACACAGTCACTAATCATTAATACATGTCTGAATAGTGGATGTGCAAGTGCATGCAGAAATGTACAGTACAATGAAGAGTAAAACATTTATAACTGTGATTATAAACCACATAGTAATGACTATTTACAGCAGAATCATGCTTTATAAATGATGAATTCAGTATTTACTAATCCATAATTAATGTGCTTATCAATGATGAATAAAACATTTTTAACTGTGTTTATAAACTACATACTAATGTGTATTCATGCTTTATAAATGATGAATTCAGTATTTATTCATGCTTAACTAATGCTTAATGGTGTGTACTCATTATAAAGTGTTACCCAAGTGGTATATGTTATAATAAGATAATCAAGTTTATTTGTGTGTCTTGTCCTGCCCCCATAGCCTGTGCCCTCATGAGGGATGTGAAAGACCAAATAATGACGGAAAGCATGCAATGGTGATGACATAGCCCTGCATATAAAATGAAACAACCGTATATGAAGAATAGAAACTGTTGTGAAGGGAGGAGGGCAGTTATGGGAGCTTTTTTTGACACATATTTCTTTCTGTGTGTCCACCTTATTTTGTTTTTTTTGTCTTCCTTCTCTTTATGCCCTGGGTCTTCCTCTATTCCCTCATCTTGTAAATTACGGAGAAGGTTTCATCTTAATGAAGTGCACAAGCCTGGCGATGTGGTTCTAGGTGGGCTGTTTGAGGTCCACTACACCTCTGTCTTCCCTGAGCGAACATTTTCCTCAGAGCCAAAACAGCCCATCTGCAAAGGGTAAGTTTGACACACATACAGAAGCCAGCACAAATCTGTGCAAATTATCTCATCTACTCAGAGTATTCATTGGTACAGAAGAAAATGTCACTGTGCTGCAGTGCTTATGAAACATGAGTAATGCAACTTTTCATGACAGTTTTAGTGATAGGCTTATTTTTAAAAATGCATCTGTATTCTGTATAATGTGGTATTTCCATAGCTTTACTGTTGTGTTTCATATACATCTACCCAGTTCTCACAGTGCCATATTACTTTTTAGTGATTAATTGTGACATTTTGTCTGTTAGCTTTGACACTCTAGGATTCAGGCATGCCATGACCATGGCCTTTGCTATTGATGAGATCAACAAGAACTCCAATCTCCTACCTAATGTGACTCTCGGATACAGTCTTTATGATAACTGTGGTGCACTTGTTGTTGGATTCAGTGGTGCATTATCACTGGCAAGTGGACGAGAGGAGCAGTTTCTGCTTCAACAGAACTGTTTCGGGTCCCCTCCAGTCCTGGGGATTGTGGGTGATCACTATTCAACATTTTCTATTGCCGCCTCCAATGTGCTTGGTTTATACAAGATGCCCATTGTAAGTTTTCTGTCTTCTATGCCTTGTACTGTTGTATTTTTAATGCACAGTGTTTGAATTATTTTCATCTTTCAAAGTAATACATTGCTAAAATATGAAAATAATTCAAATGGGTCTGACTTGTATGAGATGAGTTACCTGTGTGTACGTATGTGTTTCTTTATAGGTGAGTTATTTTGCTACATGTTCCTGCCTGAGTGATCGGCAACGGTTTCCATCCTTCTTTAGAACAATTCCAAGTGATGCTTTCCAGGTGAAACTCCATTAGCAAAATTAAAAACTGCAAAAATATGTTTCACAGTACAGACAGTATAGCAAGCTTGTGAAATATGTCCTCAATTATTTTTTATTTTTTTATTTCCTGAACTCTTAACTCTATAAGTTACACTGATTAAAGTTAGATATATGTTATTTTAGGACAACATATTGTCTGTGTACTAATTGCTTCACACTAATATATCCATTTAGGTTCGTGCTATGATTCAGATTCTAAAACACTTTGGCTGGACTTGGGTAGGCCTGCTGGTCAGTGATGATGACTATGGACTCCATGTTGCTCGATCCTTCCAGTCTGACCTTGCTCAGTCTGGTGGAGGTTGTCTGGCCTACTTGAAAGTTTTGCCCTGGGACAGTGAGCCAAGTGAACTCAGAAGGATTGTGGATGTGATAAAGACATCAACAGCTCGTGTGGTCATGGTGTTTGCCCACGAAATCCACATGTTTCAACTAATGGAAGAGGTTGGAATTATAATGTAATGAATGAAATTAATGATTTTTGGAAACGTAAGGACCATTCCCAAATAATGAAATAAATAATTTAATTATTAAAATAATTGTATTAAATTGGCTTGGTTATGAAGGGAAGCTTACAACAAACAGAACACTCAAAGAGTTGTGCTTATTTACCACACTTATATGTGCTCCTTTTTTAAACAGGTCCTTTTTTAAATTGAGCACCTTGTCCTGTACTTAAGAATATGTTTTTTTTTTATCTCTACCTATGTTACAAAAAATGTGTGTAGATAATTGCTGTACACAAATCAACATTTGCAGTAGACTGTATTTTTTTAACAGTTTTGTTTTATATAATGTTATGCAGGTGGTGAGGCAGAATGTAACAGGCAGACAGTGGATAGCAAGTGAAGCCTTGACAACAGCTACTGTGCTCCAGACACCCAGCCTCATGCCATACCTGGCTGGGACGTTGGGCATTGCCATCCGTCGAGGAGAAATACCAGGACTCAGGGAATTCCTCTTACAAATACGTCCTAACCAAAATGACAGTGACTTCGGAAATAGCATGGTAAGAATTTAATTCCACAATTTGGTCTACAATTGCAAGAATAATATGTTGTCATTTCTTTTAATACTGACTTTTTAATATTTCAGGTGAGACAATTTTGGGAATACACATTTCAATGTAGATTTGATCCAGCAGGTTGGGTGGAAGCAGAGGGACCACTATGTACTGGACTGGAAAATATTAAAAATGTGGAGACTGAGTTTTTGGATCTTTCTAACCTCAGGCCTGAGTACAATGTTTACAAGGCTGTGTATGCTCTGGCATATGCGCTTGATGACATGCTGCAATGCGAACCAGGGAGAGGGCCTTTCAGTGGGCACAGCTGTGCCACTTCAGAAAGACTGGAGCCATGGCAGGTGTGATATCAATTTACACTCCACCTGTTTATGTTTTGAAAACAGCTGCTTCTGCTTGAGGTACTTAATGAATTTAGTTTTGTTCATATAGGATATTATAGAAAAAATACATTTTGCAATGGAATTGATAGTGGCTACTAATTTTATTATTTCTTTAAAAGGTAAAATATTTAATACTACAAGTAGCAGGATAAAACACATTACTATTTTGTTTTGTGACAAAGATCACAGACTGCTATTTAACCAGTTAGACTAAAATTAAAATTTCGTGATTTTGTTGCAAATCATTTGAAAAGTAGGTTAAACCTGCTTTTGAATGGAGTCTGTCACACTCTTTATCTTTTTTTCTTCATTATGTATTCTCTATTTGTAGCTTGTACATTATTTGCAAAAGGTCAACTTCACCACACAATTTGGTGATGAAGTCTCATTTGATGAGAATGGTGATGCTTTACCAATATATGATATCATGAACTGGCTATGGCTCCCTGATGGAAGAACTAAAGTTCAGAATGTGGGTGAAGTTAAGAAGTCTGCCTTCAAAAGTGAAGAGCTCACAATTGATGAAAACAAAATCTTCTGGAATTTTGAATCGAACAAGGTTATTTCTGCTTTTTCAAACACATCTCCTACTGTAGATCTTAGCAATGTACAATGATAAAAAATGACAAATAAAATTACCGCCCTACAGCCACCCCAGTCAGTGTGCAGTGAGAGCTGTCCAGCAGGAACCCGCATGGCCAGAAAGAAAGGGGAACCTGTGTGTTGTTTTGACTGCATTCCTTGTTCTGAGGGAAAGATCAGCAATAAGACTGGTGGGTATTTATGTTTTCAATATTTTTATTTTACTTAATGAATGCTATATAAAGTTAATATCTTCTGCTTTTGTGTCAGACTCCATGGAATGCACCAGTTGTCCGGAAGACTTTTGGTCCAGCCCTAAGCGTAACGAGTGTATTCCTAAGAAAACAGAGTTTCTCTCCTACAATGAGCCTCTGGGTATCTGTTTGACAACCACCTCGTTGCTGGGCACATTTATCTGTGCCGTTGTTTTGGGCATCTTCACCTATCATAGGCGTACACCCATGGTACGTGCTAACAATTCAGAACTGAGTTTTCTGCTCTTGGTGTCACTTAAACTGTGTTTCCTGTGTTCACTGCTGTTTATTGGCCGTCCCAGGCTATGGACATGTCAGCTGAGACATGCAGCATTTGGGATCAGCTTTGTGCTTTCTGTCTCATGTATTCTGGTGAAAACCATGGTAGTTCTGGCTGTGTTCAAGGCTTCCAAGCCAGGAGGTGGAGCCAATCTCAAGTGGTTTGGTGCTATGCAGCAGAGAGGAACAGTTTTAGCTCTTACTTGCATTCAGGCAGCAATATGCACCGCTTGGATTGTGTCTGCCTCACCAGAGCCTTATAAAAACACTCAATACCACAATGACAAGATAGTTTACGAGTGTGTACACTCAAAAAGTGAACTCTGTGAGTTGTTGAATTAAATAAATGATCCTATATTACATTTAATTAACATTTCTGTGTTTGGTTTTAAAACCAAGTCCACTTTAATAAGTTTAACTTAAAATGAAAACTTCTCAAAGCAAAAGAAGCCAGCTAAGTAAATTCAACATAACACTGTTGAGTGAATTGCACAATCAAACTAAGAATGCTCTAGATGGCTTTCTGCATGCTCAGAAGCTGATTCCACAAACTCCACTGTTGCTGTGGCAAATTGGCGGGCAATGTGTTCTCGGTCAAGATCTTACCCTGCTTTCATCAAATGACATCTATCTCTGTCTGAGTAAGTATATTTTTTGATGTTTTAACATTTGTGGATGGTTAGAGAGTGATATTGGTGGTGCTACTTTACTTGTCTTGCGAAAATCTAGCATATATGAGCACATTTTAGCTCATGCTAGCTCGCTAACAAGCTAGCCAATTAACAAAATGCCATATGACAGACATACATTAAAATAACAATTTAACTCTGGAATTCTAGTTTAGCATCTCACCAAATGCAACCTTACATTGGTTTAGTTTTAATGGCATTTTTTTTTTTTTTTTTGTTAACAATTCATTGTATGGGCAGCAGAGCTCCTGGTAGCAAGGTAAGGTGACCTTAAAAATTGTGTTGGTGGTTTACAAGTTTGGGACCATAAGTTTTTTAACAGCTTAGTTAAAAACAGTGTCATTAGCTTGTATTTAAGCTGCAGGCCAGCAGCTAATGGTAAGCTAGTTAAGTGACTTTTTTTTTTTATGCTAGCGAGTGAGTGAGTGGGCGACCAAGAGTGAGGGAGCTCCGTCAGGACAGACTGCGCTGATCACTCAGAACTGAGTCAGCATTTGCAAAGGAATATAGCTCTGTGTGTAAGTATATTATGGGCCAAATTTTGTGATAAAATATACTATGCAGTCACAGTGCCTTTGAGGAAAACAGAGTTTGAAAAATACGTCAGATGTTGCTGTATGTTGTGACAGAAAAGTGACTTTTGGACCGTTGTTTAGCCTTAGCCTGAATGATAATACAAAGGAAATTTTAAACTAGTATGATTAGTTTTCCACCACTACGTAACTGTTGCTGCCTGCTTCAGAATTGGGGCAGACGCACAATAACGGTCTACTGGTTACCATTCTGCTTCTTTAGCCTTATGTTCTCACTACAGCTGTTTTGACACTACTGAACTACATAGCTGTTAAATGATTGGCTGTTTGCCTGTCTCTCATATCATTCAGGGATATGATAGGCTGTTTGAATGAGCAAGGCAGGGAGCACACGCCGGACTGTCAGATGATTGTACTGCAGGAGTTTTAAAAACATTACTCATGTAATATATTCCCAAATATTTTAGAAGAACATTAATTTCTGCATGTATATGTTTATGAATACAAAAGGCTCTTCTGTATCATTAATAATACATAACTAAATGTGGATGATAGAGTCCTGAAAATGCATGAAAATATTGATAATATTACTAATGAATAGCCAATTATATATAAAACAAAGAATGCTTTCTTTACCACACCCAGAGCTGGTTATGTGTTGAATGATATATCACTTTCAGGTTTCAGTGCTATCCCAACTGTAAAACTAAACATGTGTTTGCTCTCAATATGTTCAAGTTATAACTGTTTGCTTATCATAAGTCTAACTGATATTAAATAGACTGTATTTATATTTTACAGGTCTTCCATACATTTGTGAGCTTGAGGACTGGACAGTCTGCATTTGTTTGTGGCTCTTCAGTAGTGGTAAGTACAGTTACGAAGTAATACATCCAGACTTAACCTTTAAGTATCCACAGATGTTCAAATCTAATACTGTATATGGGATAGTAATTTTTTTTTTTTGGTTGTGTTTCATTTCCAGCATTATGAATGTGGAAGTGTAAAGAGTGTGCTGCAGAGGAAACGACAAGGTATCAGTTATTGAAGCACTATAGGTTAAAACATGGCCACTTTGGCCGCAAACACCCTTATCCATGCACATATTCAAATTGCCTGTGCACATTTAAAACTTGGAATGCACTGCGAAGTCACCTGGGTAGATCACATTTTGATCAGACCTCTCAAATATCAGTATATTGCACAACATTCAACTGCCACCATTGTTCAAATAGCCACATTGCTTCATTGAAAGAATTTTTAACTCATGTTAATAGCCATCTAAAAAAACACGAAACTATATGTTGCATTTTGAGAATTGTTCCTTTCAAACAAATATTTACGGAACATACCAAACCCACAAGAACAAAAACACAGGACATATACACTGAATGATTTAAAAGCTGGAATTGTGAAAAATGCCACAGCAGATTCATTAAATTGTTCTTTTGGAGGATCTTCACCCAAAGGTGAAAATTAGAATTATGAATTTATTAAATGCAAGGTGAAGTGTCTTTATTCATGTGATGTAATTTTCCAGAAAAGCATTGTGTCAAATTTGTTGTACTGCAAGCATGTGGTGGTCATTGGAACTGGGTAACAGAATCATATCTGTGAAAATTATAACTTTTGGGAAAAATAACTAAGGGATATCCTTGTTGTAGTCCTATATTGCATTAATTTAATGATCCACACAATACCTGATCATGTGACAAAATTTTCATCTTAGGAAGTCACAATAACATTTCGTTAGTCCAGTAATTTGATTATTATTGCCTTTGAGCTGTATTGTGTTGATATTTTTATACTTTGTTAAATGTCTGTAGGTAGAAGCAGACTTTACTTGCATCACCACTGTACCACTGAGATCGAAATTCATGCAACAGCTGGATCATCATTCTACACGGCTGATTACAATCTTCAAAAAAAAGGAGGAGCAGCAGGGCGGAAAATAAGGACTATCATGGCAGACTTGGATAAGGTACTTTTTATTTAATTTATTTTTTATGATGAAGACGAACCAGCTGGCCACTGTAGGGCGGAAAATTAGTAGTCTGACCAGTTTGGCTGAGCAGTGATGATCTGTAGTGGTAATTGCTGCACAATGCAATACCAATATAACTACTCTTACACACTTCCCTTGTTCTCTGCTGTAGAATGATGCTGTTGAAACAAGAAGAGCCTGTGTACTGAAAGCACTAATGGTTTACCTCAATGAAGACCCTGAAAATCTCATAAGAGAGTACATGGTAAGTATTTTGGCCTTTGGTTTCTACTGTACTTTCTCTCCAGAAACTGAAAATGTGATTGTTATTTTAGAAGTTTTTGACAAGTCTATCACACAGACGAATAAGATATCATGCAGGCTTAGGGTACACACACAAAACTTCTTAGCAGGCAGTTCCTTAGTGTCTTGGATCCAAACATGACATTTATGGACAACAAGAAAAATGCATCAGATTGCCTGACATTCTAACAGACAGAAAGATTTGGGACATGCTTCCATAGTAAAATTCCCTCATTGAAATCACATTAAAAGCAGTTTGTGAACTACTGTCTTAAGGTATTATTGGAGGCTGGATGGATAATAAATGGTGTGTATATTGTAACTGAAGGTGTATTTGTTCTGTTTTTGAGGATGTTGAAGACAACCAGGAGGCTATGGACCAGACAGTCCTGGGAATCTTTGCCATAAAGATGGAAGGTGCAGAGTCTACAGATGGCCTGGCAGATGTTGGAATAATCATTGAAGGTGTGGAAGTGCTCCATGACCTTGATAACACTGCAAATGCAGTCGCCATTTTGTTTGGCCTGATGTACTCACTGGACCTGAGCTATCCAACAAACCTGAAGTACACATTTGAGGTTCTGCAAAAACTTGTGATGGAACTAGATGGCAACAAACTTTCAACAAAGGCTCAAGTGCTAAAGAACAAACTATTTGAAGGAACATTTTAGAGTGTAGTGCTCCTGAGCAGCACAGAGGAAACTTGGAGGACAAATTCCATCCCAAACCATCTGGCAGAAAACTGATTTTTGGATCTGCATGTTGAACTGTGAACTGTGAACTGTGAAGAGTGGATCAGATGCACTAAATGTTTAACAGAGTTGAGAAAATGTTTACAAAAGAGACAATAACAAACTTGAAAAACACAAATGAGAAGTTTGAATTCACGTCAGCTGCAGAAGTGGAGATCAACAATGTGAAATGGAGAGTGATGGGTGAATATTGAAAGTTGTAGCAAGGAGGATGAGAGAAACAAATCGAAATCGTGTTTATGGTGCTGTGATCAAACGTTGACCAAGTTCCTGTTCATAAGATTTGGTACTGTCTGTTGAAAATGTACGTTGGACTACTTTTTTATTTTTCCTTTTTTTCCTTTGTGATTTAATTTTAGAAAACACTGCACTGATTTGTTTGTTTTTTTACCCCTACAATGCTGAAGTGGCAGGGAGGAAAAGATAATTTTGAAGTATTTTTACTTGACATTTGTTCACCCTATTCATGTAGATGGTTCTACATGAATAGGATGGATCTTTAAAAAATCAGTATCTAATGTTTCATTGTACAGTGTTCAGTAATTGTGAGGGAAAAAAGCCATGTTCATTCTGCCTGCTTCTTAAAGAATATAGCTTTAAGTTTTGGTTTGGTTTTGTAGGTCCTGTAAGAGATTTTTGTTTTCATTGGGCATTTTATACAAATTTAACTGTAAACAAAATTTAGTATTTTATAGCATAAAAACATTTTAATATAAACATTTTTATTTAGAAATGGGGAAATAAAAATAAGCTATACATGTTGAAAAATGGTTTGCTTGATATGCAGGAGCAATTTTAAGGTATAACTCACGCAAATTCAAAGTTTGTGGTTTAAAATTTGTTTGTTTGTTTTGTTTGTGATTGTTGTAGTTTTCCATTGGCAATAAATAATATTTTTCACAGAACTAAGGTATTGTAATTTGAATTTACTTAACTACATTGTGTGGAAATTGTTGACATAACTAGGTTTAGTAAGTCCAACATTATTCACTAGCTTGATAACAATGAAAACTATGTAAGTACTGATTATTCAAGTCAGTTTAGTTGGAACTACAAGGGGTTGTTCAATTAGTGTTACTCAATGCAGCTGAGTTACACATAAATTAGTGAGTTAGGTCAGTGTAATGAATGCCTGTTTAGTTAGCTGAACACTGCCTGATCAATTAAGGCTAACTTGACCAGATAATATTGAAGTTACTTAATACAGTCTTGTTGGTTTCACATAAGTTCATTATTTTCTCTGTAATTATAGTATTAAATTAGTTTGAACACAACACAGTTTTGTGGAAATTGTTGACATAACTATATTAAGTACATTGAACAAATTATTTTTTGAGTGTAGTTGGGTCTACAGTTGGTTTTACTGTGTTACTTGGCTATATCGGTGTACTGGCAATCCTTAGCTTCCTGTTAGCCTTCCTGGCAAGGAATCTTCCAGACAACTTCAATGAGGCCAAGCTCATCACTTTCAGCATGCTGATTTTCTGTGCTGTGTGGGTGGCCTTTGTCCCTGCTTACGTCAACTCACCAGGCAAATATGCAGATGCAGTGGAGGTATTTGCCATCCTGGCTTCCAGTTTTGGCCTCTTGGTGGCACTGTTTGGACCAAAATGTTACATAATCCTACTGAGACCAGAGAGAAACACAAAGAAAGCAATCATGGGTCGAGCCACCACAAAAGCATAAAACTAGCACTTTAAGTTTATTATGGATCCACTTTATATTTTGCATTCAACAATGATCATAACCAGATGAAACAAGAAGCAATAAAACATTTTAATAAAATAGTAGGGTTACATTATTAATGCTGTTTGTGTCTGGTCATTTAGCAGAAACACCAGCAGATACTTTTATAGTGATAGCACAATGGTAAATATTGATTTAATAACCAATAAATTTGCTACTAGGGAGGTGACACTGTGCATAATCTAAACCCATTGACAGTATATATAATGAACAGAGCTTCCGGGTCTGAAAATTGAAGCCAACGTGCAAGTGTCTTAAAACCTGCATTCCATGTAAAGGCCAGCAGGGAGAGCTCCATTGGCTGCAATAACACACTGATACTGTTCACTCTTGATTTATGAGCACAGTAAACATTTTCCTAATGGTCTAATAGTCTCAATTTCCATGCATTCTGATTCCTTTATATAGTGTATAATTTTCTGTAATCAAAGCTGTCAGAATATACATTATGACATTAAAATGTTTTTATATTCTCTGTACTCCTGCCAGTAGAATAAGCCACTATAAATCTATATAAAGGCCTAGAAATGTTTGTTTAACCATCAAACCCCCCAAAAAAACACTGATATACAATAAAACCAAATACAATCTTAAAAAGTACTGTCATGCAAATGTTTGGTCATATGTACATCCACAATACAATGGATCACCATCTGTCCTTCACCAAGAGGCAGGTCATAAGCTCATGTTGTCACCACCCTTTGACAGTTTAGTGAGGTCCTTGAAAGGGGCCCACCGAAGTTTGTCATGGCCTATGGCGAAGCACTGAGCAGACAATCATACTTGACTATCTTCAGGAAGTAAACGTTGTATCAAGGTTTTCATAAGTGAACTTGCGCAAGGATCATTACAGGTTTGCCAGCCCATCTGGGCCACTCAGTGTCAGGGGTGAGCACATAGCTTGTTTGACTCTAGATGCTGAGGGGTTCTTGCTGGGGTGGTTTTCAGGCCACACAGCAGAGGTGTGACCGGTTGTTGCCCCATTGGGCAACTGACTGATGCCTGGGCCTCAGTCTTCTTCTCACCATCCTCACTTCCTATTGGCTCTCCAGGTAGGTCTCCCAATGCGCTGTGTCAATTGTCGCCCGGGCCTCCTGTCGGCCTGTCCACATCCGTCGTGCTCCACAGGACTCTGCAGGTCTACGATTGCCCTTCACAACCCTGCCTGTCATTCCAATAAACTAAATGGCTTTTAATCTTCATGAACATAAATGGCAATAATATTTGTTATTAAATCTACAGATTAACCCCATAGCCCTTATTAACTCTCAATTTCATTTCTAAAAAGAATTATCAAAAAGTGAAATAATAAAATACCCAACCCCACTGACATTCAAAATAGCATAACTAGGTAATGGCTGGACATTATACAGAAAAAATAAAAGACGTTTTGGTATTTTTGCATTAATTGTTATAATTGTTTTCTAAAGCCTGAATGGAAATTAATTTTCGCTGATTTAAAGTGTCTGTCTTAATTATTTTAATTGCACGTGATGGTTGCCTAATTTTAATCAGTATTTTAATGCAGGAGACTATGAAATTCATATTATCCTCATTATGTTAGAGTTCAATTTGCAATGTGTTTTTCTTAAATCCCTCCCAAATAAGATGCTTTCTTGGGTTTGGGTTAGGCAGTATTTTCTAGTATGTGTATGCAATCACTATTAATGTAGCGAGTTTAAATAAATATTTAGACCTCCCTCATAGGTTTCTTCCGGTAAATATAAAAATACAGTCACCATGTTGTACTTTAAGACTTAAGACAATGTGAGTGTGTGTGAAGGTGCGCCAACGTAGTATTTAACAAACACTCTAAAGAGCAAATCTATAGCATGGCAAATTAGACAGACGGCAGTCTAATGGGATTACCTGCAATGGACACATTTTATTTGCAAAACTGATCATATTTAATATTTTATAAGTTACTGTGTGTCAGACAGATACAATAGGCATCCATCAAACAGAAACAGTGCAATAAAAAGTAAATAGGAAGAGGTGTTATTTCATCATTTGCTACCATCTAGTGGACATTTGATTAAACTTAAACTCATTAATGTGGGATATTAACATCCACATACTCTGTTTTAAGCATTTTGTGAGTTTAATTTGGTATGGTTGTCACACACATACATTTGGGATTATACGCAGTACAAATGGGCTCTTCTGAAACATATACTATATGTGCATATGTTTTAAACTGAAGAGCAATTCTGAAGAAAACTTGTATTTTGCAACAATGCAAGCAGATGTTGAGTTGAGGTGAAACAGTCTGTGTACTTTACAACATAACTTACATGTCAAAGTTAAACTAATATGACTTATCAACGCTTAATATGACCGTCTTGCAAATATCAGTCGACCTCAAACATTTCCACAAAATTGGTCTGGTCCATACAGCAATGAATTACAGTCCACATGTGGCCGAGATTTGGTAGCCACATACTGCCCATGATATAGCCATATCTCAGCCAACTGTACAACCATAGCTGGCCCTGTTCTGGTCCCATGTTGGAACAGAGGAGTTGAAGAGAAGAAAGAGATTGTTTGACAAATAACAGTGTTGCAAATGGTGTTGTGTAAAAAATCAATAAACATTTGTTATATGGGTGCCCTGTTATGGGTGCTCAGTCGGTAGAGCTGGTGACCCATGTACAGAGTTGCTGCAGCAGCCCGGGTTCGAATCTGACCTGCCCCCCCTTTCCTGTCTATCTTCAGCTGTCACTATAATAAAGGCAATAAAAGGCAAAAAAAAAAAAAAAAAAAAAAAAATATATATATATATATATATATATATATATATATATATATTTATTTATTATTTGTTTTTGTTAAAGCTTAGTCAAACCTGACATCTGGGACCTAAGCTGAAACTGGTCCAACAGCCATGATAGGGCCTCCTAGTTGGCTGAGATATGGCAATGTCATGGACAATGTGTAGCTACTAGATCTGGACAGCATGTGAAATTCATTTCTGTATATGGGCCGAGTATAACGGGCCGCGTGGGTTGTCGCGGGGCAAGACCAGTTTTGCTATGAGGGATGCAGTCATCCACAACTTAACTGTGGTTAAGAAAAACTGCTATGGCCATGGGTAGATATTGTTAAAAGTGCACAAAATCAACCTACAAAATCAATCACACATTAAATACATTTTAGGCCCTGCCCCTACTTTTGCTTATGCACTGATGGGTGGTGCAGAAGATTATACAATACTGCAAGTCAATAAAAGGGGTTGACATAGCAATAAAACTGACTGGGCTCAGAAAAGGGGTAAACAGGAGTAACGTCATGTGGACATGTTTAGAGATCAACTTTCTCTTGCTCATGTATTTCATGTTGTTGTATTTGTACTTTTCTTCTGCTATGTCCTCCCCTCTTTATTCATCCTCCTCCTGCCAGTTACAGGGACAGTTTCATCTGAATGGGATGCACAAAGCTGGAGATGTGGTTCTCGGTGGACTGTTTCAAATCCACTTCTTTTCTGTCTTTCCTGACCTGTCTTTTACCTCAGAGCCACAACAGCCTTCCTGCCATGGGTGAGTCTGTCAGGGAAACAGCAGGAAGGAGAAACTAAGGAAAATCAATCCTATTTATCAAATGTATTTTTCATAATCAAATATTAGTCTTAAATAATTACATTGTGTATTTATGCAATTTTAAACTTGTTTTTTGCACAGTTTAAATTAAGTATTGTAATCCTTGTTTCTTTTCAACTGGCTTAATTGGTTGCAAAATCAGTAGTAGTGTAACATGTACATTGTTGGACAGTTATGTTGTATTTTAAATAAGTAAACAGTTGTATTTCTTCTGTTAGTTTTGATGTTTTAGGATTCAGGCAGGTCCAGACCATGGCCTTTGCTATTGATGAGATCAACAGAAACCCCAACCTGCTACCCAATGTGACTCTGGGATACAGCCTTTATGATAACTGTGTCAATCTAGGGATTGGATTCCGTGCAGCGTTGTCGTTAGTCAGTGGTCAAGAAGAGCAGTTCATATTAGAAGAGACCTGTGAAGGATCCCCTCCAGTCCTAGGGGTTGTGGGTGATTCTTCCTCTACACGTTCTATTGCCATCTCCACTGTCTTAGGTTTGTACAGAGTACCCATGGTAAGTTTTCTTTTGGATCATTTTAATTCAATTTTAATTGTATTGCCAGTTGACAGCACAGAGTAATCAACCTTTAAAAGATCCAGTAAAGGCTTTGAATGGTTTTAGGATGTACAGTCTGTATCTTTCACAGGTGAGTTATTTTGCAACATGTTCCTGCCTGAGTGACCGGCAGAAGTTTCCATCCTTCTTTAGGACGATCCCAAGTGATGCTTTCCAGGTGACCATCTATCAGCAAAATGAAAATGCAGAAAAGAAAGCATGCAGTCAGACTCAGAAAGATATCTCCTCACTGCAATGAAAAACATATTCTGTACACTAAACACTTTTCCTTCCTTGCTCACTCAGGTGCGTGCTATGATTCAGATTCTAAACCGCTTTGGCTGGACTTGGGCAGGTCTGCTGATCAGTGACGATGACTATGGACATCACGCTGCCCGTTCCTTCCAGTCTGACCTGGCTCAGTCTGGTGGAGGCTGTCTGGCCTACTTAGAAATTTTGCCCTGGGGCTATGAGCAAGCTGAACTAAAGAGGATTGTGGATGTGATGAAGAAGTCCACAGCTCGTGTGGTCATAGTGTTTGCACATGAGAGTCACATGATTAACCTCATGGAAGAGGTTAGGTTTAACTTAATTACTACTTTATAAAATGTAATGTTTTATTTGTCAAACTGAAAGAAATTACAATAATATATAAATCTGTGACAAACATAATTTTGAAGAAGTCACACCTCTTATTTGTTAAAGGCCCTGTTTTTTTTGGTTTTAGAGTGAGATCATTTGAGACATATTATACAGAACTCTAGTTATGATGATATAGATCACTTTGCTCATACAGTAATACTGTGTAACACATAGGATTGCATCTATGTATGAATGAGTGAGACAAGACACCAACTGCTTCTGAACACTAGACCCTAGTTATATATTTAATATAATCCACAGGTGGTGAGGCAAAATGTGACGGGCCTGCAGTGGATGGCAAGCGAAGCTTGGACAGCAGCTGCTGTGCTCCAGACCCCCCACCTTATGCCATACCTTGGTGGCACACTGGGCATCGCCATCCGTCGAGGAGAAATACCAGGGCTCAGGGAATTCCTCCTACAAACACGTCCTGACCAACACCACGACAACAGATATGGAAATAGCACAGTAAGAGTTTTAAAGTCGAATCTGATCTTGTAATTGCAAGAATACTATATTGTCATTAACTATAACAAAACATTAACGTGAATAAATATATCTCAGGTAAACCAGTTTTGGGAATACACATTTCAGTGTAGATTTGCACCACCTCCAGCAGGTTGGTTAGAAGCTGGGGGAGCATTATGCACTGGACAGGAAGATCTGGAGAATGTGGAGACTGAGTTTTTGGACATTTCAAACCTCAGACCAGAGTATAATGTGTACAAGGCTGTGTATGCTCTGGCGTACGCCCTTGATGACATGCTGCAGTGTGAGCCAGGGAGAGGGCCTTTCAGCGGGCACAGCTGTGGAAATTTGAAAGGACTGGAGCCATGGCAGGTGCGATATCAATTTACACTTAACCTGTTTGTATGACTAAATCATAAGAGTATTTAGACTATATTATTAAATATAAACCTATGAGATTACTAATTGTGAAATGAATAACATAGTTGAAAGGACTTCCCTACTGCTGGGTAATAGGAGTGGATAGTACTATCTGATCAGTGATAGGTTTATTCAGTAGTACAGTGGTCCAGTGGGAGATGAAATAACCAATTCAAATAACCCGTTATATAAGCTGTATAGTTTAGAGAATATCATATATCCAAGACAAAACTGATATTTCAGAGCCATGGTTGGAGCCATAGATTCTAACATGCACAAACCTCAGTCATAGAAAGGATCAATGAGTCAGGCAGACTAGACTACCATATGCCCCTGCACTCTCTCTGCTACTAGAGCAGGGGTATTCAATTCAAATTCAAAGCGGTCCAGTAATGAAATATTTCTGCTAACAAGGGTCTGGAAGATTATAATGTTTAATATGCATTATCACCAGCCAATTTTATAAAACAGTCTCAACACATCTTAACAACTGAACAGGTTCAACAACTAATTTTCTCTTTCTTTCCCTCTTATATCCAACTCCTCCCAATGTCTCTTGTTAAAATTGGTTGAGATTGTTAAAATGTGGAATGGAATTAACAAAAAAAAAAAGTAATGGGGAAACTGAAGATACACTTTTTATTCATTTTTTCTAAAACTAAGCACTTCATTTTGAGATGCATATTTTTCAAAAACAAATTCTAAATGCAGCCCTTATTTTACATGAAATGAGAAAAGAGCATTCATTTATTAATAGAGTACTCATTATTTATAATCCCTCCAATTCAATGTCAAAACTGACAAGAATATTGTTAAAATATTTTTGAATTATACCTTCTTTATATGATTTGATAGTCAGTTTTTGACTACAAACAGATGTTGGTACAACAACAAGTTAGACATTATGATGTTCCGGACCTTTGCTTAAGGACATTTTCTCTAACTTTTCTCTTTTCAGAGCACACCTTGTGAAAATACTTTTCGTTGTCTCACTTATTTATCGGACTGTTTCTCTGGTCTGTCTCCTCTGTGTATGTCATTCACTGATTCAAGTAATAATGCTTATTAGGGTGTACAGATCTGATTGGCTGAGTAGTATCATGTGATATGATTTACATCGCATGCAATTGACCGGTGGCATTGTAATTCTCAAGTAACAATAATATAACAACTCCTATATTCAGGTGATTATACGCAAATGAAAAGATACATATGGATAATATAGTCTATTTGTGAGAACACATCCTTTTAATGTTACACACTGGACCTTTTACGTCTTCATGCGCTCGTAAGTATTGTGTACACTTGGATTTTTGAATACTAGGTACTGCTGTGTTTGCCATATTTTTTTTTAATTTGGTTTTCCTCTATCTTTTATTCTGATATTCATAGCTTGTGTATTACTTGCAAAAAGTCAACTTCACCACACAATTTGGTGATCAAGTCTCATTTGATGAAAATGGTGATGCCTTACCAATATATGATATCATGAACTGGCTGTGGCTCCCTGATGGAAGAACTAAACTTGTGAATGTGGGTGAGATTAAGAGATCAGCCTTCAAAGGAGAAGAACTCACGATTGAGGAAGACAAAATCTTCTGGAACTTTAAATCAAAAAAGGTTCATTTCGATTTTTCAGACACTGCATAGCTAACACGTTGTAGCGGTATAAGATAGAATAGGGACACAGTGTAGACTGACAGATATTTGTTTTTCTTCCTACAGCCACCAAAATCAGTGTGCAGTGAGAACTGTCCTCCAGGTACTCGCATGGCCAGAAGGACAGGGGAACCTGTGTGCTGTTTTGACTGCATCCCTTGTTCTGAGGGAAAGATCAGCAATAAGACTGGTTGGTACTGACTTTTAAACATTGCAGGTTGGAGATATAATATAAAAATGGATCTCAAGACTGTCCCTTTTTTCATAGACTCCATGGAGTGCACCAGTTGTCTAGAGGACTATTGGTCCAGCCCCCATCGTGACCGCTGTGTTCTTAAGACAACAGAGTTCCTCTCCTACCATGAGCCTCTGGGTATCTGCTTGACAGCCACCTCATTGCTGGGAACATTTATCTGCACTATTGTCCTGGGGATCTTTATCCATCATCGCAGTACACCTATAGTACGCGCCAACAATTCAGAACTGAGCTTCCAGCTGTTGCTGTCACTTAAGTTATGTTTCCTGTGTTCACTGCTGTTTATCGGCCGTCCCAGTCTATGGACATGCCAGCTGAGACATGCAGTATTTGGGATCAGCTTTGTGCTTTGCGTCTCGTGCATCCTGGTGAAAACCATGGTGGTTCTGGCTGTGTTCAAGGCTTCCAAGCCAGGAGGTGGAGCCAGTCTGAAGTGGTTTGGTGTTTTGCAGCAGAGAGGGACAGTTATTGTTCTCACTTCTATTCAGGCAGCAGTCTGCGCTGCCTGGCTTGTATCTGCCTCACCAGCTCCTCATAAAAACACTCAATACTATAATGACAAGATAGTTTATGAGTGTGTAGTTGGGTCCACTGTTGGGTTTGCAGTGTTACTGGGCTATATTGGCTTACTGGCTATCCTCAGTTTTCTGATTGCATTCATATCAAGGAATCTTCCAGATAGTTTCAATGAGGCCAAAGTCATCACATTCAGCATGCTGATCTTTTGTGCTGTGTGGGTGGCCTTTGTCCCTGCTTATATCAGCTCTCCAGGCAAATATGCAGATGCAGTGGAGGTATTTGCAATCTTGGCCTCCAGTTTTGGCCTCTTGTTGGCACTGTTTGGACCCAAATGTTACATAATCCTGCTGAAACCAGAGCAGAACACAAAGAAAGCAATCATGGGACGGGGCACTGAATAATAAAACTGCAATTAATTTCATGAGATGGAATTAATCTTTTTTCTCTACATAATACAAAAATACAGGTAGAAAAGTAGGCTAATAGTAGGCTTATATCTTTGTTAACATACTGAGAAAGCAGGACTGATGCCAAAAAAAAATATCTGAATAGGAAATCTCTTACCACTTGGATCACGTGTGAGAATACTTAAACACAAGTTTTTCTTTCCAGGATGTAGTTGAAATGCAAAGTATTTGCAATTCAAATGCTATTATTCCTTTCAAACATTTATTGGTGTAAGTTAATCTTAGACCTGATTATTTTTTACTTTCCCTGAATAAAGTATGCTAAATATTTCTGTTTATTTGACTTCATTATTTGCATTTATTTTTGACCTGTCTGGAGCTAATGTGAACTTAAAGGTACACTCACCTATTTTTACATTGCCCCCAAACACAAAAAGCTTCTCTCAGCTCCTACATTTCCAAATATTAAATGTCAAAAGGTTTGTCTTTAAAAGAAGCAATCGTTTATGACTTTTCTTGAGTCAAATACAGGCATCAGAGTTGAAAGTTGACTGTGAGTGTCTTGAAATTTCATCAATTGTTATATTCCAAAACTGACTGGCCAGAAAGTATATTAAAATGTCTAAAACATTGGCATCTACAGTGTATTTGAGTAATTGTTACTAATGTTTAACATTAACCCTCCACACATAATATTTTTTGGTCATTTTGTTTTTTGTAAAGATAAAGAAATTTAGTACACAAGGACTGGACATATTGAATATTGTTCTTCTCTTTAAAGTCACTGTATTATCAGGGTTGAATGAACTGAATGAACAAAAGGATGAAGCTTTTAAAACTATTCACAACATGCATGCAATACTACTATAAAGTCTAAAGATTTGTAGATTCTGTGATTTCCTTCTCACATTGAAAACATAGTTAACTATTCACCTGAACAGTTTATGATGTTATATATAGTGTCACTGTCGTCTTTGACCATCCAGGGTAGAGATCACCTATTCTGTGTTATCGTGTTTTGTTTTTGTGGAAAGTAAAATAGCAGCCAAGAGGTGTTTTTTGCAAATACTCCATTTCTGAAAATGCTTAGGGTCCCAAATTTAACATGTGGACCAAGTTACACATCTCCTGGACTATGTTCCTGTGTCTCCTCCTTATCTCTGCTTCCACCCCCTAAGTGGCTCTCTCCCTGTGTGTGTGTGTGTGTGTGTGTGTGTGTGTGTGTGTGTGTGTGTGTGTGTGTGTGTGTGTGTGTGTGTGACTGACTGAGTGGAGACAGGTGTGCTAGAGACAGAGAAGAGCCACACCAGTTGCACCTCATCTCAGTAGTTGAGACCTCTGCAAGTACTCATCCTTGCCACGTCCACTCTCCCACATTGTAGCCTCTGCACCAGTTAGTTTACGCTTCCAGGTATTTTTAATTCATTTTCAGTAGGCTAATCTTGTTGTTAGGGTTACACCAAAGAACATAAATATATATGTCAGAAGCATTGAAGTGCTGCATAAACTTCTGTCAGTCACTGGAATTTAACTTTGAGTTGGAAAGTTTACGAACATGGCCTTGGTTAGATGTTGTTAAAAGCACACAAATCAATTCTGCCTCATTACAAACTCAATCAAAAATGAAATACATTTTCGGCCCTGCCCCTACTTTTGCTTATGCACTGATGGGTGGTGCGAAAGATTAAACAACACTGCAAGTCAATAAAAGGAGTTGACAGCAATAAAACTGACTGGGCTCAGAAAAGGGGTAAACAGGAGGAAAGTCATGTGGACATTTTTAGAGATCAACTTTCTCTTGCTCATGTATTTCATGTTGTTGTATTTGCACTTTTCTTCTGCTGTGTCCTCCCCTCTTTATTCCTCCTCCTCCTGCCAGTTACAGGGACAGTTTCATCTAAATGGGATGCACAAAGCTGGAGATGTGGTTCTCGGTGGACTGTTTCAGATCCACTTCTTTTCTGTCTTTCCTGACCTGTCTTTTACCTCAGAGCCACAACAGCCTTCCTGCCATGGGTGAGTCTGTCAGGGAAACAGCAGGCAGGAGAAACTAAGGAAAATCAATCCTATTTATCAAATGTATTTTTCATAATCAAATATTAGTCTTACATAACTACACTGTGTATTTATGAAGTTTTAAACTTGTTTTTTGCACAGTTTAAATTAAGTATTGTAATCCTTGTTTCTTTTCAACTGGGTTAATTGGTTGCAAAATCAGTAGTTGTGTAACATGTACATTGTTGCACAGTTATGTTGTACTTTAAATTAGTAAACAGTTGTATTTCTTCTGTTAGTTTTGATGTTCTAGGATTCAGGCAGGTCCAGACCATGGCCTTTGCTATTCATGAGATCAGCAGAAACCCCAACCTTCTACCCAATGTGACTCTGGGATACAGCCTTTATGATAACTGTGTCAATCTAGGGATTGGATTCCGTGCAGCGTTGTCGTTAGTCAGTGGTCAAGAGGAGCAATTTATATTACAAGAGACCTGTGAAGGATCCCCTCCAGTCCTAGGGGTTGTGGGTGATTCTTCCTCTACACGTTCTATTGCCATCTCCACTGTCTTAGGTTTGTACAGAGTACCCATGGTAAGTTTTCTTTTGGATCATTTTAATTCAATTTTAATTGTATTGCCAGTTGACAGCACAGAGTAATCAACCTTTAAAAGAGCCGGAAAAGGCTTTGAATGGTTTTAGGATGTACAGTCTGTATCTTTCACAGGTGAGTTATTTTGCAACATGTTCCTGCCTGAGTGACCGGCAGAAGTTTCCATCCTTCTTTAGGACGATCCCAAGTGATGCTTTCCAGGTGACCATCTATCAGCAAAATGAGAATGCAGAAAAGAAAGCATGCAGTCAGACTCAGAAAGATATCTCCTCACTGCAATGAAAAACATATTCTGTACACTAAACACTTTTCCTTCCTTGCTCACTCAGGTGCGTGCTATGATTCAGATTCTAAACCGCTTTGGCTGGACTTGGGCAGGTCTGCTGATCAGTGACGATGACTATGGACATCACGCTGCCCGTTCCTTCCAGTCTGACCTGGCTCAGTCTGGTGGAGGCTGTCTGGCCTACTTAGAAATTTTGCCCTGGGGCTATGAGCAAGCTGAACTAAAGAGGATTGTGGATGTGATGAAGAAGTCCACAGCTCGTGTGGTCATAGTGTTTGCACATCAGAGTCACATGATTAACCTCATGGAAGAGGTTAGGTTTAACTTAATTACTACTTTATAAAATGTAATGTTTTATTGTCAAACTGAAAGAAGTTACAATAATATATAAGTCTGTGACAAATATATTTTTTAAAAAGTCACACCTCTTATTTGTTAAAGGCCCTGTTTTTTTTGGTTTTAGAGTGAAATCATTTGAGACAAATTATACAGAACTCTAGTTATGATGATATAGATCACTTTGCTCATACAGTAATACTGTGTAACACATAGGATTGCATCTATGTATGAATGAGTGAGACAAGACACCAACTGTTTCTCAACACTAGACCCTAGTTATATATTTAATATAATCCACAGGTGGTGAGGCAAAATGTGACGGACCTGCAGTGGATGGCAAGCGAAGCTTGGACAGCAGCTGCTGTGCTCCAGACCCCCCACCTTATGCCATACCTTGGTGGCACACTGGGCATCGCCATCCGTCGAGGAGAAATACCAGGGCTCAGGGAATTCCTCCTACAAACACGTCCTGACCAACACCACGACAACAGATATGGAAATAGCACAGTAAGAGTTTTAAAGTCGAATCTGATCTTGTAATTGCAAGAACACTATATTGTCATTAACTATAACAAAACATTAACGTGAATAAATATATCTCAGGTAAACCAGTTTTGGGAATACACATTTCAGTGTAGATTTGCACCACCTCCAGCAGGTTGGTTAGAAGCTGGGGGAGCATTATGCACTGGACAGGAAGATCTGGAGAATGTGGAGACTGAGTTTTTGGACATTTCAAACCTCAGACCAGAGTATAATGTGTACAAGGCTGTGTATGCTCTGGCGTACGCCCTTGATGACATGCTGAAGTGTGAGCCAGGGAGAGGGCCTTTCAGCGGGCACAGCTGTGGAAATTTGAAAGGACTGGAGCCATGGCAGGTGCGATATCAATTTACACTCCACCTGTTTGTATGACTAAATCATAAGAGTATTTAGACTATATTATTAAATATAAACCTATTAGATTACTAATTGTGAAATGAATAACATAGTTGAAAGGACTTCCCTACTGCTGGGTAATAGGAGTGGATAGTACTATCTGATCAGTGATAGGTTTATTCAGTAGTACAGTGGTCCAGTGGGAGATGAAATAACCAATTCAAATAACCCGTTACATAAGCTGTATAGTTTAGAGAATATCATATATCCAAGACAAAACTGATATTTCAGAGCCATGGTTGAAGCCATAGATTCTAACATGCACAAACCTCAGTCATAGAAAGGATCAATGAGTCAGGCAGACTAGACTACCATATGCCCCTGCACTCTCTCTGCTACTAGAGCAGGGGTATTCAATTAAAATTCAAAGCGGTCCAGTAATGGAATATTTCTGCTAACAGGGGTCCGGAAGATTATAATGTTTAATATGCATTATCACCAGCCAATTTTATAAAACAGTCTCAACACATCTTAACAACTGAACAGGTTCAACAACTAATTTTCTCTTTCTTTCCCTCTTATATCCAACTCCTCCCAATTTCTCTTGTTAAAATTGGTTGAGATTGTTAAAATGTGGAATGGAATTAACAAAAGAAAAAGTCATGGGGAAACTGAAGCTACACTTTTTTTTTTTTTTTCAAAAACTAAGCACTTAATTTTGAGATGCATATTTTTCAAAACCAAATTCTAAATGCAGCCCTTATTTTACTTGAAATGAGAAAAGAACATTCATTTATTAGTAGAGTACTCATTATTTATAATCCCTACAATTCAATGTCAAAACTGACAAGAATATTGTTAAAATATTTTTGAATTATACCTTCTTTATATGATTTGATAGTCAGTTTTTGACTACAAACAGATGTTGGTACAACAACAAGTTAGACATTATGATGTTCCGGACCTTTGCTTAAGGACATTTTCTCTAACTTTTCTCTTTTCAGAGCACACCTTGTGAAAATACTTTTCTTTGTCTCACTTATTTATCAGACTTTTTCTCTGGTCTGTCTCCTCTGTGTATGTCATTCACTGATTCAAGTAATAATGCTTATTAGGGTTCACAGATCTGATTGGCTGAGTAGTATCATGTGATATGATTTACATCGCATGCAATCGACCAGTGGCATTGTAATTCTCAAGTAACAATAATATAACAATTCCTATATTCAGGTGATTACACACAAATGAAAAGATACATATGGATAATATAGTCTATTTGTGAGAACACATCCTTCTAATGTTACACACTGGACCTTTTACGTCTTCATGCGCTCATAAGTATTGTGTACACTTGGATTTTTGAATACTAGGTACTGCTGTGTTTGCCATATTTCTTTTAATTTGGTTTTCCTCTATCTTTTATTCTGATATTCATAGCTTGTGTATTACTTGCAAAAAGTCAACTTCACCACACAATTTGGTGATCAAGTCTCATTTGATGAAAATGGTGATGCCTTACCAATATATGATATCATGAACTGGCTGTGGCTCCCTGATGGAAGAACTAAACTTGTGAATGTGGGTGAGATTAAGAGATCAGCCTTCAAAGGAGAAGAACTCACGATTGAGGAAGACAAAATCTTCTGGAACTTTAAATCAAAAAAGGTTCATTTGGATTTTTCAGACACTGCATAGCTAACACATTGTAGCAGTATAAGATAGAATAGGGACACAGTGTAGACTAACAGATATTTGTTTTTCTTCCTACAGCCACCAAAATCAGTGTGCAGTGAGAACTGTCCTCCAGGTACTCGCATGGGCAGAAGGACAGGGGAACCTGTGTGCTGTTTTGACTGCATCCCTTGTTCTGAGGGAAAGATCAGCAATAAGACTGGTTGGTACTGACTTTTAGAACATTGCAAGTTGGAGATATAATATAAAAATGGATCTCAAGACTGTCCCTTTTTTCATAGACTCCATGGAGTGCACCAGTTGTCTAGAGGACTATTGGTCCAGCCCCCATCGTGACCGCTGTGTTCTTAAGACAACAGAGTTCCTCTCCTACCATGAGCCTCTGGGTATCTGCTTGACAGCCACCTCATTGCTGGGAACATTTATCTGCACTATTGTCCTGGGGATCTTTATCCATCATCGCAGTACACCTATAGTACGCGCCAACAATTCAGAACTGAGCTTCCAGCTGTTGCTGTCACTTAAGTTATGTTTCCTGTGTTCACTGCTGTTTATCGGCCGTCCCAGTCTATGGACATGCCAGCTGAGACATGCAGTATTTGGGATCAGCTTTGTGCTTTGCGTCTCGTGCATCCTGGTGAAAACCATGGTGGTTCTGGCTGTGTTCAAGGCTTCCAAGCCAGGAGGTGGAGCCAGTCTGAAGTGGTTTGGTGTTTTGCAGCAGAGAGGGACAGTTATTGTTCTCACTTCTATTCAGGCAGCAGTCTGCGCTGCCTGGCTTGTATCTGCCTCACCAGCTCCTCATAAAAACACTCAATACTATAGTGACAAGATAGTTTATGAGTGTGTAGTTGGGTCCACTGTTGGGTTTGCAGTGTTACTGGGCTATATTGGCTTACTGGCTATCCTCAGTTTTCTGATTGCATTCATTTCAAGGAATCTTCCAGATAGTTTCAATGAGGCCAAAGTCATCACATTCAGCATGCTGATCTTTTGTGCTGTGTGGGTGGCCTTTGTCCCTGCTTATATCAGCTCTCCAGGCAAATATGCAGATGCAGTGGAGGTATTTGCAATCTTGGGCTCCAGTTTTGGCCTTTTGGGAGCACTGTTTGGACCCAAATGTTACATAATCCTGCTGAAACCAGAGCAGAACACCAAGAAAGCAATCATGGGACGGGGCATTGAATAATAAAACTGCAATTAATTTCATGAGATGGAATTAATCTTTTTTCTCTACATAATACAAAAATACAGGTAGAAAAGTAGGCTAATAGTAGGCTAATATCTTTGTTAACATATTGAGAAAGCAGGACTGATGCCAAAAAAAATTATCTGAATAGGAAATCTCTTACCACTTGGATCACGTGTGAGAATACTTAAACACAAGTTTTTCTTTCCAGGATGTAGTTGAAATGCAAAGTATTTGCAATCCAAATGCTATTACTCCTTTCAAACATTTATTGGTGTAAGTTAACCTCAGACCTGATTATTTTTTACTTTCCCTGAATAAATTATGCTAAATATCTCAGTTTATTTGACTTCATTATTTGCATTTATTTTTGGCCTGTCTGGAGCTAATGTGAACTTAAAGGTACACTCACCTATTTTTACATTGCCCCCAAACACAGAAAGCTTCTCTCAGCTCCTACATTTCCAAATATTAAATGTCAAAAGGTTTGTCTTTAAAAGAAGAAATCGTTTATTACTTTTCCTGAGTCAAATACAGGCATCAGAGTTGAAAGTTGACTGTGAGTGTCTTGAAATTTCATCAATTGTTATATTCCAAAACTGACTGGCCAGAAAGTATATTAAAATGTCTAAAACATTGGCATCTACAGTGTATTTGAGTAATTGTTACTAATGTTTAACATTTACCCTCCACACATAATATTTTGTGGTCATTTTGTTTTTTGTAAAAATAAAGAAATTTAGTACACAAGGACTGGACATATTGAATATTGTTCTTCTCTTTAAAGTCACTGTATTATCAGGGTTGAATGAACTGAATGAACAAAAGGATGAAGCTTTTAAAACTATTCACAACATGCATGCAATACTACTATAAAGTCTAAAGATTTGTAGATTCTGTGATTTCCTTCTCACATCATTGAAAACATAATTAACTATTCACAGTTTATGATGTTATATATAGTGTCACTGTCGTCTTTGACCATCCAGGGTAGAGATCACCTATTCTGTGTTATCGTGTTTTGTTTTTGTGGAAAGTAAAATAGCAGCCAAGAGGTGTTTTTTGCAAATACTCCATTTCTGAAAATGCTTAGGGTCCCAAATTTAACATGTGGACCAAGTTACACATCTCCTGGACTATGTTCCTGTGTCTCCTCCTTATCTCTGCTTCCACCCCCTAAGTGGCTCTCTCCCTGTGTGTGTGTGTGTGTGTGTGTGTGTGTGTGTGTGTGTGTGTGTGTGTGTGTGTGTGTGTGTGTGTGTGTGACTGATTGAGTGGAGACAGGTGTGCTAGAGTCAGAGCAGAGCCACACCAGTTGCACCTCATCTCAATAGTCAAGTACTCATCCTTGCCACGTCCACTCTCCCACATTGTAGCCTCTGCACCTGTCAGTTTACACTTCAAGGTATTTTTAATTCATTTTCAGTAGGCTAATCTTGTTGTTAGGGTTACACCAAAGAACATAAATATATATGTCAGAAGCATTGAAGTGCTGCATAAACTTCTGTCAGTCACTGGAATTTAACTTTGAGTTGGAAAGTTTACGAACATGGCCTTGGTTAGATGTTGTTAAAAGCACACAAATCAATTCTGCCTCATTACAAACTCAATCAAAAATGAAATACATTTTCGGCCCTGCCCCTACTTTTGCTTATGCACTGATGGGTGGTGCGAAAGATTAAACAATACTGCAAGTCAATAAAAGGAGCTGACAGCAATAAAACTGACTGGGCTCAGAAAAGGGGTAAACAGGAGGAAAGTCATGCGGACATTTTTAGAGATCAACTTTCTCTTGCTCATGTATTTCATGTTGTTGTATTTGCACTTTTCTTCTGCTGTGTCCTCCCCTCTTTATTCCTCCTCCTCCTGCCAGTTACAGGGACAGTTTCATCTAAATGGGATGCACAAGGCTGGAGATGTGGTTCTCGGTGGACTGTTTCAAATCCACTTCTTTTCTGTCTTTCCTGACCTGTCTTTTACCTCAGAGCCACAACAGCCTTCCTGCCATGGGTGAGTCTGTCAGGGAAACAGCAGGAAGGAGAAACTAAGGAAAATCAATCCTATTTATCAAATGTATTTTTCATAATCAAATATTAGTCTTACATAATTACACTGTGTATTTTTTGCAGTTTTAAACTTGTTTTTTGCACAGTTTAAATTAAGTATTGTAATCCTTGTTTCTTTTCAACTGGCTTAATTAGTTGCAAAATCAGTAGTTGTGTAACATGTACATTGTTGCACAGTTATGTTGTACTTTAAATTAGTAAACAGATGTATTTCTTCTGTTAGTTTTGATGTTCTAGGATTCAGGCAGGTCCAGACCATGGCCTTTGCTATTCATGAGATCAGCAGAAACCCCAACCTTCTACCCAATGTGACTCTGGGATACAGCCTTTATGATAACTGTGGCAATCTAGGGATTGGATTCCGTGCAGCGTTGTCGTTAGTCAGTGGTCAAGAGGAGCAATTTATATTACAAGAGACCTGTGAAGGATCCCCTCCAGTCCTAGGGGTTGTGGGTGATTCTTCCTCTACACGTTCTATTGCCATCTCCACTGTCTTAGGTTTGTACAGAGTACCCATGGTAAGTTTTCTTTTGGATCATTTTAATTCAATTTTAATTGTATTGCCAGTTGACAGCACAGAGTAATCAACCTTTAAAAGAGCCGGAAAAGGCTTTGAATGGTTTTAGGATGTACAGTCTGTATCTTTCACAGGTGAGTTATTTTGCAACATGTTCCTGCCTGAGTGACCGGCAGAAGTTTCCATCCTTCTTTAGGACGATCCCAAGTGATGCTTTCCAGGTGACCATCTATCAGCAAAATGAGAATGCAGAAAAGAAAGCATGCAGTCAGACTCAGAAAGATATCTCCTCACTGCAATGAAAAACATATTCTGTACACTAAACACTTTTCCTTCCTTGCTCACTCAGGTGCATGCTATGATTCAGATTCTAAACCGCTTTGGCTGGACTTGGGCAGGTCTGCTGATCAGTGACGATGACTATGGACATCACGCTGCCCGTTCCTTCCAGTCTGACCTGGCTCAGTCTGGTGGAGGCTGTCTGGCCTACTTAGAAATTTTGCCCTGGGGCTATGAGCAAGCTGAACTAAAGAGGATTGTGGATGTGATGAAGAAGTCCACAGCTCGTGTGGTCATAGTGTTTGCACATCAGAGTCACATGATTAACCTCATGGAAGAGGTTAGGTTTAACTTAATTACTACTTTATAAAATGTAATGTTTTATTGTCAAACTGAAAGAAGTTACAATAATATATAAGTCTGTGACAAACATAATTTTGAAGAAGTCACACCTCTTATTTGTTAAAGGTCCTGTTTTTTTTGGTTTTAGAGTGAGATCATTTGAGACATATTATACAGAACTCTAGTTATGATGATATAGATCACTTTGCTCATACAGTAATACTGTGTAACATATAGGATTACATCTATGTATGAATGAGTGAGACAAGACACCAACTGTTTCTGAACACTAGACCCTAGTTATATATTTAATATAATCCACAGGTGGTGAGGCAAAATGTGACGGGCCTGCAGTGGATGGCAAGCGAAGCTTGGACAGCAGCTGCTGTGCTCCAGACCCCCCACCTTATGCCATACCTTGGTGGCACACTGGGCATCGCCATCCGTCGAGGAGAAATACCAGGGCTCAGGGAATTCCTCCTACAAACACGTCCTGACCAACACCATGACAACAGATATGGAAATAGCACAGTAAGAGTTTTAAAGTCGAATCTGATCTTGTAATTGCAAGAATACTATATTGTCATTAACTATAACAAAACATTAACGTGAATAAATATATCTCAGGTAAACCAGTTTTGGGAATACACGTTTCAGTGTAGATTTGCACCACCTCCAGCAGGTTGGTTAGAAGCTGGGGGAGCATTATGCACTGGACAGGAAGATCTGGAGAATGTGGAGACTGAGTTTTTGGACATTTCAAACCTCAGACCAGAGTATAATGTGTACAAGGCTGTGTATGCTCTGGCGTACGCCCTTGATGACATGCTGAAGTGTGAGCCAGGGAGAGGGCCTTTCAGCGGGCACAGCTGTGGAAATTTGAAAGGACTGGAGCCATGGCAGGTGCGATATCAATTTACACTCCACCTGTTTGTATGACTAAATCATAAGAGTATTTAGACTATATTATTAAATATAAACCTATGAGATTACTAATTGTGAAATGAATAACATAATTGAAAGGACTTCCCTACTGCTGGGTAATAGGAGTGGATAGTACTATCTGATCAGTGATAGGTTTATTCAGTAGTACAGTGGTCCAGTGGGAGATGAAATAACCAATTCAAATAACCCGTTATATAAGCTGTATAGTTTAGAGAATATCATATATCCAAGACAAAACTGATATTTCAGAGCCATGGTTGAAGCCATAGATTCTAACATGCACAAACCTCAGTCATAGAAAGGATCAATGAGTCAGGCAGACTAGACTACCATATGCCCCTGCACTCTCTCTGCTACTAGAGCAGGGGTATTCAATTAAAATTCAAAGCGGTCCAGTAATGGAATATTTCTGCTAACAGGGGTCCGGAAGATTATAATGTCTAATATGCATTATCACCAACCAATTTTATAAAACAGTCTCAACACATCTTAAAAACTGAACAGGTTCAACAACTAATTTCCTCTTTTTTTCCCTCTTATATCCAACTCCTCCCAATTTCTCTTGTTAAAATTGGTTGAGATTGTTAAAATGTGGAATGGAATTAACAAAAAAAAAAAAAGTAATGGGGAAACTGAAGCTACACTTTTTTTTTTTTTCTAAAACTAAGCACTTAATTTTGAGATGCATATTTTTCAAAACCAAATTCTAAATACAGCCCTTATTTTACTTGAAATGAGAAAAGAACATTCATTTATTAATAGAGTACTCATTATTTATAATCCCTCCAATTGCCAAAAATATTTTAACAATATTCTGGTCAGTTTTGACAAGAATATTGTTAAAATATTTTTGAATTATACCTTCTTTATATGATTTGATAGTCAGTTTTTGACTACAAACTGATGTTGGTACAACAACAAGTTAGACATTATGATGTTCCGGACCTTTGCTTAAGGACATTTTCTCTAACTTTTCTCTTTTCAGAGCACACCTTGTGAAAATACTTTTCTTTGTCTCACTTATTTATCAGACTGATTCTCTGGTCTGTCTCCTCTGTGTATGTCATTCACTGATTCAAGTAATAATGCTCATTAGGGTGCACAGATCTGATTGGCTGAGTAGTATCATGTGATATGATTTACATCGCATGCAATTGACCGGTGGCATTGTAATTCTCAAGTAACAATAATATAACAATTCCTATATTCAGGTGATTATACGCAAATGAAAAGATACATATGGATAATATAGTCTATTTGTGAGAACACATCCTTCTAATGTTACACACTGGACCTTTTACGTCTTCATGCGCTCATAAGTATTGTGTACACTTGGATTTTTGAATACTAGGTACTGCTGTGTTTGCCATATTTTTTTTAATTTGGTTTTCCTCTATCTTTTATTCTGATATTCATAGCTTGTGTATTACTTGCAAAAAGTCAACTTCACCACACAATTTGGTGATCAAGTCTCATTTGATGAAAATGGTGATGCCTTACCAATATATGATATCATGAACTGGCTGTGGCTCCCTGATGGAAGAACTAAACTTGTGAATGTGGGTGAGATTAAGAGATCAGCCTTCAAAGGAGAAGAACTCACGATTGAGGAAGACAAAATCTTCTGGAACTTTAAATCAAAAAAGGTTCATTTGGATTTCTCAGACACTGCATAGCTAACACATTGTAGCAGTATAAGATAGAATAGGGACACAGTGTAGACTAACAGATATTTGTTTTTCTTCCTACAGCCACCAAAATCAGTGTGCAGTGAGAACTGTCCTCCAGGTACTCGCATGGGCAGAAGGACAGGGGAACCTGTGTGCTGTTTTGACTGCATCCCTTGTTCTGAGGGAAAGATCAGCAATAAGACTGGTTGGTACTGACTTTTAGAACATTGCAAGTTGGAGATATAATATAAAAATGGATCTCAAGACTGTCCCTTTTTTCATAGACTCCATGGAGTGCACCAGTTGTCTAGAGGACTATTGGTCCAGCCCCCATCGTGACCGCTGTGTTCTTAAGACAACAGAGTTCCTCTCCTACCATGAGCCTCTGGGTATCTGCCTGACAGCCACCTCATTGCTGGGAACATTTATCTGCACTATTGTCCTGGGGATCTTTATCCATCATCGCAGTACACCTATAGTACGCGCCAACAATTCAGAACTGAGCTTCCAGCTGTTGCTGTCACTTAAGTTATGTTTCCTGTGTTCACTGCTGTTTATCGGCCGTCCCAGTCTATGGACATGCCAGCTGAGACATGCAGTATTTGGGATCAGCTTTGTGCTTTGCGTCTCGTGCATCCTGGTGAAAACCATGGTGGTTCTGGCTGTGTTCAAGGCTTCCAAGCCAGGAGGTGGAGCCAGTCTGAAGTGGTTTGGTGTTTTGCAGCAGAGAGGGACAGTTATTGTTCTCACTTCTATTCAGGCAGCAGTCTGCGCTGCCTGGCTTGTATCTGCCTCACCAGCTCCTCATAAAAACACTCAATACTATAGTGACAAGATAGTTTATGAGTGTGTAGTTGGGTCCACTGTTGGGTTTGCAGTGTTACTGGGCTATATTGGCTTACTGGCTATCCTCAGTTTTCTGATTGCATTCATATCAAGGAATCTTCCAGATAGTTTCAATGAGGCCAAAGTCATCACATTCAGCATGCTGATCTTTTGTGCTGTGTGGGTGGCCTTTGTCCCTGCTTATATCAGCTCTCCAGGCAAATATGCAGATGCAGTGGAGGTATTTGCAATCTTGGCCTCCAGTTTTGGCCTTTTGGGAGCACTGTTTGGACCCAAATGTTACATAATCCTGCTGAAACCAGAGCAGAACTCAAAGAAAGCAATCATGGGACGGGGCATTGAATAATAAAACTGCAATTAATTTCATGAGATGGAATTAATCTTTTTTCTCTACATAATACAAAAATACAGGTAGAAAAGTAGGCTAATAGTAGGCTAATATCTTTGTTAACATACTGAGAAAGCAGGACTGATGCCAAAGAAATTTATCTGAATAGGAAATATCTTACCACTTGGATCATGTGTGAGAATACTTAAACACAAGTTTTTCTTTCCAGGATGTAGTTGAAATGCAAAGTATTTGCAATTCAAATGCTATTATTCCTTTCAAACATTTATTGGTGTAAGATAACCTTAGACCTGATTATTTTTTACTTTTTCTGAATAAATTATGCTAAATATCTCAGTTTATTTGACTTCATTATTTGCATTTATTTTTGACCTGTCTGGAGCTAATGTGAACTTAAAGGTACACTCACCTATTTTTACATTGTCCCCAAACACAAAAAGCTTCTCTCAGCTCCTACATTTCCAAACATTAAATGTCAAAAGGTTTGTCTTTAAAAGAAGCAATCGTTTATGACTTTTCTTGAGTCAAATACAGGCATCAGAGTTGAAAGTTGACTGTGAGTGTCTTGAAATTTCATCAATTGTTATATTCCAAAACTGACTGGCCAGAAAGTATATTAAAATGTCTAAAACATCGGCATCTACAGTGTATTTGAGTAATTGTTATTAATGTTTAACATTAACCCTCCACACATAATATTTTGTGGTCATTTTGTTTTTTGTAAAAATAAAGAAATTTAGTACACAAGGACTGGACATATTGAATATTGTTCTTCTCTTTAAAGTCACTGTATTATCAGGGTTGAATGAACTGAATGAACAAAAGGATGAAGCTTTTAAAACTATTCACAACATGCATGCAATACTACTATAAAGTCTAAAGATTTGTAGATTCTGTGATTTCCTTCTCACATCATTGAAAACATAATTAACTATTCACAGTTTATGATGTTATATATAGTGTCACTGTCGTCTTTGACCATCCAGGGTAGAGATCACCTATTCTGTGTTATCGTGTTTTGTTTTTGTGGAAAGTAAAATAGCAGCCAAGAGGTGTTTTTTGCAAATACTCCATTTCTGAAAATGCTTAGGGTCCCAAATTTAACATGTGGACCAAGTTACACATCTCCTGGACTATGTTCCTGTGTCTCCTCCTTATCTCTGCTTCCACCCCCTAAGTGGCTCTCTCCCTGTGTGTGTGTATGTGTGTGTGTGTGTGTGTGTGTGTGTGTGTGTGTGTGTGTGTGTGTGTGTGTGTGTGTGTGTGTGTGTGTGTGTGTGTGACTGATTGAGTGGAGACAGGTGTGCTAGAGTCAGAGCAGAGCCACACCAGTTGCACCTCATCTCAATAGTCAAGTACTCATCCTTGCCACGTCCACTCTCCCACATTGTAGCCTCTGCACCTGTCAGTTTACACTTCAAGGTATTTTTAATTCATTTTCAGTAGGCTAATCTTGTTGTTAGGGTTACACCAAAGAACATAAATATATATGTCAGAAGCATTGAAGTGCTGCATAAACTTCTGTCAGTCACTGGAATTTAACTTTGAGTTGGAAAGTTTACGAACATGGTTTTGGTTAGATGTTGTTAAAAGCACACAAATCAATTCTGCCTCATTACAAACTCAATCAAAAATGAAATACATTTTAGGCCCTGCCCCTACTTTTGCTTATGCACTGATGGGTGGTGCAAAAGATTAATCAGTACTGCAAGTCAATAAAAGGGGTTGACATAGAAATAAAACTGACTGGGCTCAGAAAAGGGGTAAACAGGAGGAAAGTCATGCGGACATTTTCAGATGTCAACTTACTCTTGCTCATGTATTTCATGTTGTTGTATTTGTACTTTTCTTCTGCTGTGTCTTCCCCTCTTTATTCCTCCTCCTCCTGCCGGTTACAGGGACAGTTTCATCTAAATGGGATGCACAAGGCTGGAGATGTGGTTCTTGGTGGGCTTTTTGAGATCAACTTCTTTTCTGTTTTTCCTGACCTGTCTTTTACCTCAGAGCCACAACAGCCTACCTGCCACGGGTGAGTCTGTCAGGGAAACACCAGGAAGGAGAAAATTGGAAAAATATATATACATTTTTGATGAAAAATATTAGTCTGACATGATTACGCTCTGTATTTATGCAATATAAACATGTTTTTTGCACAGTTTAAGTATTTTAATACTTTCAACTGGCTTAATTGTTTGCAAAATCAGTGTAATATGTACATCTTGACACAGTTATGTTGTATTTCTTCTTTCAGTTTTGATGTTCTAGGATTCAGGCAGGCCCAGACCATGGCCTTTGCTATTGATCAGATCAACAGAAACCCCAACCTGCTGCCTAATGTGACTCTGGGATACAGTCTTTATGATAACTGTGTCAAACTAGGGATTGGATTCCGTGCAGCATTGTCCTTAGTCAGTGGTCAAGAGGAGCAGTTCATATTAGATGAGACCTGTGTAGGAACCCCTCCAGTCCTAGGCATTGTGGGTGATTCTTCCTCTACACGTTCTATTGCCATCTCCACTGTCTTAGGTTTGTACAGAGTACCCATGGTAAGTTCTCCACCTTCCGTAAGAATTATTTTGGATGATTTGAGTAATCAACCTTAAAGAGTTGAAAGAGCCAGTATTGGCTTTGAATGTTTTTAGGATGTACAGTCTGTCTCTTTCACAGGTGAGTTATTTTGCCACATGTTCCTGCCTGAGTGACCGGCAAAAGTTTCCATCCTTCTTTAGGACAATCCCAAGTGATGCTTTCCAGGTGACGATCTATCAGCAAAATGAAGATGTAATAAAGTAATCATATGCAGTTAAACGTTTCTCACTGCAATGCAAATTATATTCCTTTTTTGTAATACTACTTGCATTATTTGTGTCATTGAAAGTAAATAAGCAAAAATAAAACAATAATAAAAATGTACATTGTTGAACCTATTTAGCAAGTTTTATAATACAGGTTTATTTTAAGACATTACACTAAACACCTTTCTTTCCTTGCTCACTCACTCAGGTGCGTGCTATGATTCAAATCCTAAACCGCTTTGGCTGGACTTGGGCAGGTCTGCTGATCAGTGATGATGACTATGGACTTCATGCTGCCCGATCCTTCCAATCTGACCTGGCTCAGTCTGGTGGAGGCTGTCTGGCGTACCTGGAGGTTTTGCCCTGGGGCTATGACCAAGCTGAACTAAGGAGGATTGTGGATGTGATGAAGAAGTCCACAGCTCGTGTGGTCATAGTGTTTGCACATGAGAGTCACATGATTAACCTCATGGAAGAGGTTGGGCTTGAAATACAACTGAATTATAATCTTATATTTGTCAAACTGAAAGACTTATATTACAATAACAACATATTGAGCTATGATAAATATATATAATTGAATGGGTCACCTTTGCTATCTATTAAAGGTCTTGTTAGAAGGGTTTTGGAGTGAGATAATTTACCCAGACAAATTATTATTATGATGATATGCATCACTTTGCTAAAACATAGGACTGCATCTGTGTATGAATGAGTAAGACAAGATATCAACTGTGTAAACTGTTCACAAGACTAGGAACTACTATTTTGCAATGGCAGTATGAATTTGGTATAATGCAATGCATAGGTGGGGAGGCAGAATGTGACAGGCCTGCAGTGGATGGCCAGTGAAGCTTGGACAGCTGCTACTGTGCTCCAGACCCCTGAGCTTATGCCATATCTTGGTGGCACACTGGGCATCGCCATCCGTCGAGGAGAAATACCAGGGTTCAGGGAATTCCTCCTACAAATACATCCTGACCAACACCACAACAACAGCTATGGAAATAGCATGGTGAGAGTTTAGCCATGCAATCTGATAATTGCAAGAAAAACCACATTGTCATTATCTATAACATGCTGTTATGAATATATTTCAGGTAAAACAGTTTTGGGAATACACATTTCAGTGTAGATTTGCACCACCTCCAGCAGGTTGGTTAGAAGCTGGGGGAGCATTATGCACTGGACAGGAAGATCTGGAGAATGTGGAGACTGAGTTTTTGGACATTTCAAACCTCAGACCAGAGTATAATGTGTACAAGGCTTTGTATGCTCTGGCGTACGCCCTTGATGACATGCTGCAGTGTGAGCCAGGGAGAGGGCCTTTCAGCGGGCACAGCTGTGGAAATTTGAAAGGACTGGAGCCATGGCAGGTGCGATATCAATTTACATTCTACCTGTTCGATCAATTGATCATTTTTGCAACAAAAAAGGACAAGAGTGAAGCAAATTTTACATTGGTAATAAGAGTGAAACTTTCTTCAAAAAAAGTGATTGCTCTGTGCTGAAGAATAAAAATAAATAGATAAAAGAGCCCTAAGAAGAGAACATCCATTCAGTTACAATGTGACAAAAAGAAATATAGCACTGCAGTCTCAGTAAATTAATGTTAAAACTTGCCTCAATTACAGAACAGAAAGTATTTACTCTTCCATTTTCAATTTTAATTTATCTTGCTGAAGTTCAGTGAAGTTATTTCACTCATAATACCTTGCACAACAGGGTTTTTTAAGTCAGACTTACATTAGTCACTCATAGGGATCAGTTACAGTGTCAAGTCTGAGTTTGTTCACAGTCACATATAATTATTTGTATCTGTCCTCTTTGGTTTACTCTATTTCTGAAATTCATAGCTTGTGCATTACCTGGAAAAGGTCAGCTTCACCACAACATTTGGTGATCAAGTGTCATTTGATGAGAATGGTGATGCCTTACCAATATATGATATCATGAACTGGCTGTGGCTCCCTGATGGAAGAACTAAAGTTCAGAGTGTGGGTGAGGTTAAGAGGTCAGCCTCCGAAGGAGAAGAACTCATAATTGATGAAAGCAAAATCTTCTGGAACTTTGACTCTAAAAAGGTTATCTATATGATTTACCATGGATAACTCATTATAGCAGTGTGAGGTGATGTAGAATAATGCATTTTTCTTTCTACAGCCACCAAAATCAGTGTGTAGTGAGAGCTGTCCTCCAGGAACCCGCATGGCAAGAAAGAAAGGGAAACCTGTGTGCTGTTTTGACTGCATCCCTTGTTCTGAGGGAAAGATCAGCAATAAGACTGGTTGGTACTGACTTTTAAACATTGCAGGTTGGAGATATAATATAAAAATGGATCTCAAGACTGCCTCTTTTTTCATAGACTCCATGGAGTGCACCAGTTGTCCAGTGGACTTTTGGTCCAGCCCCCAGCGTGACCGCTGTGTTCCTAAGCAAACAGAGTTCCTCTCCTACCATGAGCCTCTGGGTATCTGCCTGACTGTCACCTCCTTGCTGGGAACATTTATCTGCACTATTGTCCTGGGGATCTTTATCCATCATCGCAGTACACCTATAGTACGAGCCAACAATTCTGAACTGAGTTTCCAGCTGTTGCTGTCACTTAAGTTATGTTTCCTGTGTTCACTGCTGTTTATTGGCCGTCCCAGGCTATGGACATGCCAGCTGAGACATGCAGCATTTGGGATCAGCTTTGTGCTTTGCGTCTCATGCATCCTGGTGAAAACCATGGTAGTTCTGGCTGTGTTCAAGGCATCCAAGCCAGGAGGTGGAGCCAGTCTGAAGTGGTTTGGTGTTTTGCAGCAGAGAGGGACAGTTCTGGTTCTTACTTCTATTCAGGCAGCAATCTGCACTGCCTGGCTTGTATCTGCCTCACCAACTCCTCATAAAAACACTCAATACAACAATGATAAGATAGTTTATGAGTGTGAAGTTGGGTCCACTGTTGGTTTTGCGGTGTTACTGGGCTATATTGGCTTACTGGCTATCCTCAGTTTTCTGATTGCATTTATATCAAGGAATCTTCCGGATAGTTTCAATGAAGCCAAACTCATCACTTTCAGCATGCTGATCTTCTGTGCTGTATGGGTGGCTTTTGTCCCTGCTTATATCAGCTCACCAGGAAAATATGCAGATGCAGTGGAGGTATTTGCCATCCTGGCCTCCAGTTTTGGCCTCTTGATGGCACTGTTTGGACCCAAATGTTACATTATCCTGCTGAGACCAGAGAGGAACACAAAGAAAGCAATCATGGGTCGGGGCATTGAGTCATAAAAACTGCACTTATTTTCATGGGAACAAATCGTTTTTCTATACACAATACAAAAAATAAATTACAGGCAGTAAAGTAGGTTAATATAGCTTAACATATTGAGAAAGCAAGCTGATAACAAACAAATGTATCTGAATGCAATCTCTTGGATAGTACTTGAATCATATGTGTAAGAATACTTAAACACAAAGCTCTAGCACTTTGGATGCTATTATTTCCTTTCCTTTCCTAACTGTAACACTGTTTTTATTGAACTGTAGTGGAAGTCTTGGCCCAGATGTATGTTATCCATTTTCCAGAAATCCCCCAGCTACACCATAAGCCCAAAAGCTTTGGCTATTGCCCTCAGTGGCTAACAACCAACTATTGCCAATGGGTTCCCAGATTGGCCCTGCAGTAACCCCTTTCCCACAATTCACCAGATCTTCTCCACCTACCTGCTAACATGTTCCCCATGTCCCTTTCCAGTCTGCTGTATACAACCAGCCCCTCAATCCCTATCAGATTGTCAAGGTTGCAATGTGTACCTGAACCTCAGCCAGTACCAGTTCCTGCACCCTGAACCTGTATTCTGAACCCTTCACCTGACAGTTGATACCTATACTTGTCGGTCTGCCTACCAGCCTGTAAGCTCCTTCAATTCATCAATAAATCCCTGAACTCCTTTGTCTGTCTGGTCTGTCTTGTCACAAGTTTGGAGAGCTAGGCTATATAAAGTCTTTTGCTGTTTTATTGAAGTGGGACACTATGGTTATGCAAGAAATGACATTCTACAGGTGGAAGTTTGTTCCAGCCTTCTTCCCAGCCAGCAAGCCTCTGGCCAACCTTCCTCCATTCACCAAACCTCCGGCCTGCTGGCCTCCAGCCTCAATCCGGCCTGTGTCTCTTGCCTGCTAGCCTACAGCCTGCACCTCAATTAACCTGCTGCCTGCCATCTCCTCATCAGCCAGATCCTCAGTCGGCCATCTCCACACAAGAAACCTCTGTATTGTTTCTGGCCTCCTGCTATGCTCTCCTGTCACCAGCCTTGTGCTCTAGTATCTAGCGGTTCACCTGTCCAGCACCCAGGGGGCGGGGGACAGTTCACCTCTGGGTCTCCCTAATGGAACGGACAAGGGGGGAACAAGGGATCCACTAGAAGTTAGTCACACTTCGACTTTCTTCCAAATAACACACATTTCATTCATAATATAATAAATACAGGCCTATAGTTAATGCACATTTTTGTTTTTCTGAATTGTGTGTAATGCCTAACATGGTCCACAAACAATGGTCTTTGTGGTTCCCTAAGTTCTGATAACTTATACTGTCATATTTTGTGCAGAACTGTATTCATTGTCTTTTGGCAATGTTGGGGGTGGAGATTGTGCCCCTTAAAAAGTAAAGAGAGTAGAGAGTAAATCTACAAAATTTTAAATCAGACAGATGAAGGCCTAAAGTAATCTGTTTTGGATGCATGTTTCTAAAGAACTGATCATATCTAATATCTGATAAGTAACTGTGTAAAAGACACAGCAATGAAAAGTAGATGAGACGACATAATATTTCATCAAATGTCATAGTATTCTGCTACCATCTAGTGGATATTTTCTTAAACTTCGTTAATGTTTGAGAGTGAATTCCACATTTATGATGCTGATTTGTGCATTTGGGGTCTATAATTTGGTATTATTCTCACACACACAAATTTAGGATTATTCTCAGTACAGTGGCTGATACATATACTATACATATCAGAGTTCTAAACTGCAGAGAGATTCTAAAGAAAACAATTTATTTTACTTAAATGTAAGTAGATGTTTCATGAGAAGGTGAAACAGTCTACTTTCTACAATATAGCATAAATATAAAAGTCCACCTAATATGACATTAAAAAAACAAAACAAAGAAACATATAACTGTCATGCAAATTTCAGTAGACCTCAAACATTGCAGTCATCTACAACGAAAAGCTGGGATAGGTGACTCTTGAGAAATCCAGTACTTTCACAAATACCAAGATATTGTGCAGACAACAACTCAGGAAGTAATGTAACTCACATAAGCTAGGTTGTGGTTTTGCAAACTGTTGCTACAGTTGCTGCTGCGAAGATAACATGCAAAAAGGACGAGGCGGTTTACGGTAGCCAGCACTACCGTCTCCAAACAGCAATACTCACAAATTAATTCAGCCTCAATACAAAATCAATCACAAATGAGGTACATTTTAGGCCCTGCCCTTACTTTTGCTTATGCACTGATGGGTGGTGCGCAAGATTATACAATACTGCAAGTCAATAAAAGGGGTTGACATAGCAATAAAACGGACTGGGCTCAGAAAAGGGGTAAACAGGAGGAACGTCATGTGGACATTTTTAGAGATCAACTTTCTCTTGCTCATGTATTTTATGTTGTTGTATTCTTACTTTTGTTCTGCTGTGTCCTCCCCTCTTTATTCATCCTCCTCCTGCCAGTTACAGAAACCGTTTCATCTAAATGGGATGCACAAGGCTGGAGATGTGGTTCTCGGTGGGCTATTTGGGATCCACCTTTTTGCTGTCTTTCCTGACCTGTCTTTTACCTCAGAGCCACAACAGCCTACCTGCCATGGGTGAGTCTGTCAGGGAAACAGCAAATGCAGAAACTGGGGACAATCAGTACCATTAGCATAATGTATTTTTTGTGATCAGATATTACTTTAAAGAATGACACTGTATATTGCAGTCATATTTTTAATGATTATACTTGTTGTCATTCTACTG